GTACCTCCTTCATTGCACCAAAATAGAAGAGTTGGCGTATTCTGACACGTGTATGACACATCTACTCATGTGTGAACCCTGATTAAAGTGTCACGTTCTCGGAGGCCAGGCAGATAAATGTAGATACTATAGAATGAAAATCTAAATTTGAAATTTCTGTCTGAATTTCTCGGATGAGGAATTATCATTGTTCACATTATTTACATTCGGACTAATATCTTCATCTTTGTTGTTATCATCACAACGTTTCAGCCGTTGTGGCCTCCGGCCTTTTTCAAGTGTCGGGTGGATTAAAGTGTTGGTCTGTGAATTTTCAGACATGGTAATTGTGAGTTCACTCCCTGGTCCAGACTCTGAGCAGTACTAAATTTGTTCAAGACGAGATATCAGTAGACCTGGACAACGGATCCGCGTCGATTAGATGAAAGGTTCGGTTTGGAATTTTATGAAGGTTACCTGAAGTGATAAACACTTGAAGAAGGCCGAAGCGCTCAATAACTGAAACTAGTGCAACGAAGGTTGAAGATATTAGGATATTATTTAAAATATAGAAAACGATTAGTGAGGAGTGTAGCGATTTAAACTCAGTGTAAAGATTAAGCATGATTTTTAACTCAGAGCTATTAATTCAACATAAATTATGTTAGATCTGTTTGAAGAATGGGGTTGTTATTTACAGTTAAATATTATAAATATATAATGATTAGACTGTGTCAATTTTTCATTTAGTATTGGCCTTTCTACATTGTAAAAATAATGTTCGAAAATCTGAATTTTTTTTTAATCTGGGTTCGAACTTTGACCACTGGCTCCGCTGCGAAATAAGCAAATGTCTCATTAATTAGGGCAGATTTCCTGATCCTATGAATTTGTTTTCTTTCTCTCTTTCACGAAAAGAAAGGCAAGATTTTATCTTGAAGATTTTAAAAGCATTTCTAAAGACCGAAAAATGTTGTGTCAGTTCCGTGAGGCAAGTTTATTTACGAAATTTTCAAAATCGGATTGGCAGAGATTTGTTTTGTTTCCTTCATATAAAAACGGAATTGTTATTTTCAAAATGTGTACTCATTGTGAAAAAGCGCTTTCTGTGTGACAGTAATTTATTTTGGGATTGTTATTTACTATTTTTAGATTTGCTTGGCATAACGCCAGCCAGAATGATGTCGCCCAACTCGTTCAGAAATCTCTAACTTCTCATCAACATCGAACTGTTTTTCTATGTTCTTTGTTATTTCCTTTCATCAACATACAACCGTTTTCTCGGATCAACCTTTATAATGGCTTCAAGCAAATGAATCTTTTAGGTTTTTAAGAAGACAATCTGTTATAAGTGAGTTATCAAAAACAACAATAGAAAACTGGAATTGCTTTAACAAGTTTATTATCTTTTAGTACAGGGAAACACAATGTAGAATAGTAACTAAAGAAGAGAATGTTTAGCCGTGAATGACTGTTTTCAGCAAAAGCTACTCTTGCTACTGCTACTCCTGCTACTCCTCTTGATGTAGGAATATTTTTATGTCTTTCGTCCGACGGCCGAGTCCAAACTTGAGGAAATATTCTCCCTCACATCACAATCCTTCATCAGACCCTATAGATTGGCGCTACACAATTATACATAAATTATTTTAACAAAACCCGTAGACTTCCAACAGCCGCAACAAAAGTGGGTAGCACGTGTAAGTAGAATGGAAATTAAATATACAAAGATGACTTTCCACATTACCTTAAACAAAGGGTCAGGAAGGAGACCTTAAACAAAGGGTCAGGAAGGAGACCTTAAACAAAAGGTCAGGAAAGAGATTCCCATCAATACAAGAAAGAACGATAATAGTGGGCTTGAGAAAATTTGTTGAAAAACTCTTTTAAGAAAAAGATTTTATAAATTCAAACTGGCAGTAGCGTGAACTGTTCGCTCAATGAGTGGGAAATGTTTTCTGTACAAAAACTGTTAATCTAATCATAACGATTACCAATCAACGATGACCGAAAATGATAGACTAGCGAATTGATTTGCAAAACTGCTTGATAACCATTGTATTACGTTAAGCGTGCCAATTGTAATTAATGAATACAACCTAAATTGTGTTTCCTTAAAAAGAAAAAGAATGTGTATTTTAAATTGAAAATATTTTGCTTCTATCCGTTCTTATATTTAGCATAAGGTACGTCTTCATTTCTGTTGTTGTGTGCGTCCCGAGTGCGTCCTTTCTTAAGTGCGTCCGTATTTTTTCACAACACGAGCCACACTACTGAAATATATATATATATATATATATATATATATATATATATATATATATATATATACCATGACAATATAGTTAAATTCCCAGATCAATTCTTGTCTTGTATTGTCCACAGAATTGATCTGGGAATTTAACTATATATATATATATATATATATATATATATATATATATATATATATATATATATATATATATATATGTGTGTGTGTGAAAAATTTCAGATAGATTATATCTGTGAAAGGACAATATAAATAAAAGACAAAAGGAAAATTTGTCTCAGAGGATGAAACGCATAGGTTAAGGTAAGTTGTCCTTTTGTCTTAATTATATATATATATATATATATATATATATATATATATATATATATATATTTATATATATATATATTCATTCTATTAGACAAAACTGTGGCTTATGCTTATATTTTTAAGCAATTGTTTTTCAAATAAAAAATTCAATGTCATAAAGTTCTTCGTACAGAACGGAAGACGTGACACCTGATAAACATAATATTTAAAAAGACGTAAACGTTTAAATCATTTTCCTTTTTCCGTATCAAGGTGTGTTTTAAAACACGCCATTAACAGAGAAACGCAGTCATATTGAACTGAACTTCTTGAACTGTTTCCATAAGCTAAACGAGAAGAAAACGAAAGAAGCTTTAATCTAAACAACTTTGAAAAAGATATAAATTCAATACTATTTTGGTTTCCCGCACTGATAAACCAATAGATGCTGGATAATGATTTTCCTGACAATTGTACAAATTAAAAATTTTCATGGTAGGAAGGTGACAGTTTTTGGGTTTTGTTTTGTTTTTTGGTTTTTTTTTTCTGTTTTAACTAGTTTTTTTAGTGTTCGTTGTATTCTCTAACCTATGTTCATGAATCTAGGTTTTGTTTGGCGATTCAAACATACTCGCTACAATCTCTCGATCAGACAACTATCATTTTCCATAGACGAGTAAATTAACTTATTATTTATATTTATTTAAGCCATATTGAGGATAAGTGTAGGAAGACTGTGCTACGTCAAACTTTCATGTAGAGAGTGCCTGAGTGCATTCAAAATTTGCATTCGAAATCCTTGCTTTCATCTACGTTCGAACAAGGGCCACAGATTTTTGCAGAGGCGGCACAATAACTTCATCCAGCAAACAATACCAAACGTGAACTAACTGTACCATCTCTGTCCCATAAATGTTGGTACATTTTGTTTATGCAATCTGTATGCAAATGTAGCAACAATTATGGGACAGGAATTGTATCGATTTTAAAATATACCTTTTAAGGAAAAATCTCTCCAGGAGTCATTTTTGCCAATGCAGCCACCGAATCTAAATCTCCTGGCCCAGGTTCGCATCCTACCCGAAGCCGAGAACATGGATGGAAATAACAAATACTACACTTTGATGCTAGTCCGAGCACACAGATACTCTGATCTTCAGCAGAAATGCTGATCCTTAATAAGCTTATAGTACTCTTGATGTAGGAACATGGGTCTCCAAGCGAGTCTCGTAAAACATTACTCAGTTTGATTCTCGCATGTGGTTTGGTCATAAGTTAAGCTTACTAAATACCAATTATTGTTAGCAATATTTTTCAAAAATGTTTTTCTTACAAAAGAACAATACATTCTAATATTCGCAGAAATAACAACTATAATTGTTGGTCCATAAGACGTAATTACAAAAGCATATAAATATTAAACTGAATCTGATGTACTGGTATTATGGTTAGAGGCTTCCCAATCCCTCATACACTGGAAATGTCTCGTACTGGATAATTTTGTCCCTTGGCCCATACTGACCTTTCAGAGACACGCCAAATGTCTTGTATTTAGTTCATTATCAAATTTCGTAATAAAAATATATTCTTATGACCTTCTTACGTTGTAACTTTATAAGTAATTATATACTTTCTTTTCTCAGCTTCTTTTGCTGAAAATAACCCAAATGGAACGAGGAAACTAGTATTGCTAGAAGTTTACACAAAACTGACGTGTTTGCAATTTGTTCACTTGGTGTAGTTGGCTGAGGACAACGACAATTTTACTGTTTTGCTTGCCATTCGCAGCGCTAATGTGCAGTTCTGGATAAGAATTGAATTACGCTTTCTTATCTTGTATTATTAAATAAATTTCAAATGATTTTATTTTTTATTTTCCTCATAACTCATTAAAATCATTGCTTCATATTATTAATTTAAGTCTCTCTTTTTTATATAATACATTGGTCTAAGTGTGTAGGCAGGTATATATATATATATATATATATATATATATAGAGAGAGAGAGAGAGAGAGAGAGAAAGAGTGATTTGAAGAGTGTCTTGTATTCCTAATTTTCTAATCTGGCAACCCCGGTCATATTATCAAAAATAATGCTAAAATATAATATGCATATTTGCAACAAGATGGAAATAGGCAGAAATCTCTACAGGTATAAATTTATATATATATATATATATATATATATATATAGAGAGAGAGAGAGAGAGAGAGAGAGAGAGAGTGTGTGTGTGTGTGTGTGTGTGTGTGTGTGTGTGTGTGTGTGTGTGTGTGTGTGTGTGTGATTTTAAGAATGTCCTGTATTCCTAATTTTCTAATCGGGCAACTCGTCATATTAGGAAAAATAATGCTAAAATATGATAAGCATATTTGCAAAAAGATGGAAATAGACTGAAATCTCTAGAGGTATAAATTTATATATATATATATATATATATATATATATATAGAGAGAGAGAGAGAGAGAGAGATTTTAAGTGTCTTGTATTCTAATTTTCTAATCAGGGAACCCTAGTCTTATTAGGAAAAATATTACTAAAATATCATAAAAAGCATATTTACAAGATGGTCTTGAAAATAGACTTGAAATCTCTACAAGATAAATAATTGCGTGATTAATCCTTGATGATTTCTTTCTTTTTCACACTAAATAGCGCAGCGTTTGTCAGTCTATTTATAAGAGAAAGGATTTTTCTTTTCTTGTTTTGTTTTACATTTAAATTTTCGGATTTGAAAAATCTAGAAACGTCAAATCATATTAGGGAAATACTATTTTTTTAAACAGCTGGTACGACAAAAATAAAACATTAGCCTTGTCTAGATATGGTGGTAGAGATTAATCGTAAGATCTGCTGTTCCCGGAGAACCAAATGTGGTAAGCGGTTTAGAATCCAAAAGGAAACTGATTCCCCGGAAACTAACAATAACATTCGTAAAAATGCAATATACATTAAATTAACTACGTTGACGTCTATTTGTGGTTTTTTCGACGCGCCCACAAATAAACCGAAAATATTTAAAATAGCAGAAATATGTCTCTTCGTTTCGTTTTATCAAGTGTGTTATGTAGGCGTGATATTTGAATCGGGCCAATAATTGTTAAGCTTTCTCTTTCGTTGTCCTAATTTGACGAGTAATCATGAGACTATTTTGTAAAACAATCGAATTGTTTAATCTAAATGTTGGGGAAGAATTATAAAATACAGGATCGTTTCATCAGAAATACTCATTCGAAGACAAAGATTACGATAGGAGTAATTACATGCTCTCTGTAAATCCAGGAAAAATGAAATTGAATTACTACATTTTACACTTCTATTATTGTTTAATTATTATTTCATACTCCTCGTGGAGCTTAGGGAAGGCTGTAACCTCACTAAGTGACGCTGCTGCAGTTTCAGTTGCAAGTTAATATCTTATGAAGTTAAGATACTAGCTCGACACCTAAGATAGACTGTCTTACAGGGCTGAAGAACACCAACCGTCCTATTTACCCATAGTTAAGGGAGTAATAGGTTCATGCCTTTCCAAAAAGCGTTAATGCGAAGACACAAGATACGCTAGCCGCAATTTGAACTCTGATCGATCATTCCATTTTTTTTTTTTTTTTTTTTTTGGCTGTTAAGCCACCCAAGACGCCGTTTTTGTGCATTACTTACCAAATTTATTCCACCCATCAAAAGTGTATATCTCGTTAAAATTGACAAATCAGATGTGCCGTTTCAAAGTATCAGCATGATGGTCAGGAATATTTGTCTTTCATCTCTTTCACAGCCACCGGTGATGTCCCTGGGAAAGTTCAGTCAAACAAGTTGCCAGGCCCTCGTACGCAATGTGTTCACATCGGCCAAAGTGCGACAACAGACGGCGGCCATTCCGGACACGCTCATCGCGGTAAGTAATTCTTTATTTGTCTCCTATCCAATCAGAAGTCAATCGACAGAAACGCTAAGACGAATATAGACTCCGAAGAGCATACATTGAAATTCTTTTCTTTATATTTTCCTTTTAATTTATTTCTTCCTCTTATTCTATTCATGTTTGAATATCTATCGCATTTCATATATATATATATATATATATATATATATATATATATATATATATATATATTTATAATTATATATATTTATAATTTAGGATTGGTGTATACGAAATGAATTCCAATAACCAAAAATACTATTCTTAAAAAGAGTGTTCAATAAACAGTAGAGCAAATATAATTTATTCGAAAATTATAATATAAATATATGTCATAAACATATTTATGTTAAAAATATTTATGTTATAATCATATGTTATAATTTTCGAATAGTTTATATATATATATATATATATATATATATATATATATATATATATATATATATATATATATATATATATATATATATATATATATATATATTGATTTGGTTTGGTTTGTTTTACGGCGTATCAACCTCAATGGGTTATTTAATGCCGACAAGATTTTTACTGCTGGTAATATTTTTCTTAAAAAATGTATTGCTGGTAATATTTTTTTCTTCACAAACGTATTGCTGGTAATATAATTTTTTTCAAAAATATATTGCTGGTAAAAAAATTTCTTTCAAAAATTCATTGCTGGTAATATTTTTTTTACAAAAATGTATTGCTGGTATTAAAACCTACATTTACACTTTCATATGTTTTGACCCCAGTTTGGGGTTAACTCTTTGGCCATAGCTGCGACCCTAACAGACCTGTGAACACCAGCAATTAAGAGGTGGTTCCACGCTTCTCAAAACCTTCTGATCAGAGGCCTTGCTGTCTGATGTAGTTTATCGTCATACCCAAGATTGTATATATATTGAGGAAATTGTAAAACAAAATGGAAAAGTTTATTTGTGGCGCGTTTCATCCGCACAAGTAAACTTTTTTAGCGTTACCGCATATATATATATATAGTAATTTTAAAGCAGTCAATGTTTTTTTAATCCGATTTCATTTTTATTACTATTACTATAAACATTATATTTAGTAGGTATACGTGTTTTGTAGGCATTCCTGTTACCTATTATTTAAGCAGTGAAACTAATGTCAACTGGCCTAGATATTGTGGAAGAAAAACAAATATATCTACACAAACACCTGTACCCACCATATATAAATAAAGACAAAAGAAACACTTAGCCGACAACGTTTAATCTCTGATGGAGTATTAAGGCAAATGCAAGGATTTTATTTTGCAACAATTATTTATAAACAAAATAAAAATGTTGTTAGCTTTTCAAAATCTTTTAATGTTTTTTTTTTTTGCCTTTATTCATATTGTCCCTTTTTATATATATATATATATATATATATATATATATATATATATATATATATATATATATATATATATATATTTAGGGAGGCACGGTGGATTAATGGATAAGGCCTTGGATTGACGAGTTCGAATTCTAAATGAATCCATTACATTCATTTACATGCTAATACCCTTGGGAAAGGTATGAATTCTATTCTTCCCTCGGCTATGGGTAAATAGCAGGACAGACTGAGTTCTATAGCCTTGGATGGCAACTGGTCTACTGCAGAATTAAATGGCAACCTACTGGGGGAAATAATCTGCCTCGTCAGTCATGTATCGAAAAGATCGCCTAAGTGTGTCTCACGCATGGCACATAAATGACTACCTGACTTTCGTGAATGTCGGCCTTTCTCATTTTGAGGAATCGGGGAGCCGAATTCGAATTCCAGTCGAATCCATTACATTCACTTACGTGCTAATACCTTTGGGAAAGATATGAATAATCTTCTACTCCCCAGCCAGATATGGGTAAATAGCAGAACAGACCAGGTGCTATATGGCAACTAGTCGACCACAGAAAGAAATGGCAACCTACTGAGGAAAAATCTGCCTCATCAGTCATGTATCGAAAGATACATGATCGCCTACGCGTGTATCGCGCATAGCACATAACTGACTGATATTTAGTTATGTAAGTTTTACACCCTCACCCATACAAACACGCACACACACATGCGCACACACACACACACATACACACACACACATATATATATATATATATAGATAGATAGATAGATAGATAGATAGATAGATAGATAGATAGATAGCTGGAAATAAATTCAGGTCGTGTATATTGTAGTCGGTCTCCGATTAAGGATGTTCCAATATATCTACATGTGAGTCACAAATTACACGACACGACATTATTATTAAAGGAAAATGTTTAAAAATATAAATAGAGCTACTAAAATATCAGTCCCGCTAAAAATAACGTTCAAATGTTAAAAAAACTGTATTAAAATGACAGAAGTATTAAACTGCATTATACTGAAGTATATAAGAATATAATCACTATATAAGAATATATATAATATGATAATATATGTCGATATAAAAATATAAGCATGAAGTATATAAGAAGTATTATACTGTGTTAAAAAAAAAACTGTATCCCGCCTAAATTCATCAGGATGAAATATGTATATTTTGACACCTCCAACCAGTTAAGATCAGAAGCTATGAGAGCCATGAGAGTCATACCTAGAGTGGCATTCCGGCATTTATTATTATTATTATTATTATTATTATTATTATTATTATTATTATTTCCTTTGATTTATGGAGTATACTCATTTCTTTCTGGGTCCCGCCCAGAAACATAAGGTCAGAAATGGCATCATGACACTATTCACTGAGCATTTTTTGAGGGAAAAGAACACCAAAAAATATAAGATCACACATATTTTACGTATTATTATTATTAATTTTACTATTATTATTATTATTATTAAACAAAATGATTGACGTAACTCTTCCAATATTTTTCAACAGTTCAAAGAAGAACGCCATTTAAGAAAAAAAGGAAAAGTTATATTTAAACATTTTTTTCAAGTATAAAAATATATAAATCTACAAAACATTATTAGTCTCATATATAAGATTTATATATTTTTATACTTGAAAAAATTGTTTAAATATATCTTGAAGACAGACAGACATTCTGTCGAAATATTGTTTAACATTGTCAAGCACTGTGTTTTTATTTTCTTTATCTTTTCTTAAATTGCGCTTTTTTCTTAACTATTATTATTATTATTATTATTATTATTATTATTATTATTATTATTATTTCTTTGATTTCTGGCGTTTACACATTTCTTTCCGGGTCCCGCCCAGGGACCTAAGGTTAGAAATGGCGTCATGACACTTTCCACTGACAGAAAAAAAAAAAAAAAAAAAAGAATTAAATTACATAGATAAAGCCCTTCGTAAGGTGTGGGCTGTACTTGTCAGAACAATCTTTTGTATCTCCTTGAGGCATGGACTTCCAGGAATCCCTTCAATTAGTCTACTGCAATCTTTTCCAACCAGTCCTAGGGCTCCAACTACAACAGGGATTGTTGATGTTACCATATGCCACATTTTCGAGATTTCTATTTCAAGGTCCTTGTACTTTGACAATTATTATTATTATTATTATTATTATTATTATTATTATTATTATTATTATTATTATTATATCCATTTTTGCAGCAATGTCCAATGCGCAAAGTCCTAAGTGGTAACAACCCATTTTCTGCCGTCGTCAAACCAGATAATGAATCCCTGGGCCGTCCTTTCTCAGAGGTTCCGGGGCCCCGGGGCCTGCCTATAATAGGAACACTCTTAGATTACATGAAGAAAGATGGATTATCGTTCAGTAAAATGTTTGAGGTAAGATTCATTGAGCTTAATGGCCATCGGTCTTTTATAAACATTTCATCTATTTAAATATTTAGTCACTGATATAGAACTACGTTTTTTCTTTTCCTGCAATCTCTCTCTCTCTCTCTCTCTCTCTATATATATATATATATATATATATATATATATATATATATATATATATATATATATATATATATGTGTGTGTGTGTGTGTGTGTGTGTAATCTTTTCTTTCCTTTTCTCTCTCTTCTCCGTTCCTTGTATTTTAGTTTCCATTTATCTATCTGACATACATCTCTCTCTCTCTCTCTCTCTCTCTCACACACACACACACACACACACACACACGCACGCACACCCACTTATTCACTCACTCACCGGGTAAATCAGCAAAAATTGTGTAACAGCAAAATTGTACAATTGTTAGATTAAGCTTTGAACCATTGTATTTTAGAAATGATAAAAGATATCTTACTGGAATTCTCCAAGGTTTTTATAAAACTATTGGACTCTACTTTGAGCAGTAAGAATGTATAATAACTCTCCAAGCTTAACAGAAAAATCGTGATGAAAGCGATCATGAACGAAAATGACATGGCCATCATTAATTAATCATATCTAAGGATCGAAGTTCATGATGGACTGATACAAAGTTCAAATATATATATATATATTATTCCCAGATCATTTTCCAACTTATTCAAGATGATCTTCGCCCTCTAACCTTCTAACCTTCTATTCTGGAGTAACAAGGTGCCTCACACGTTTCACGCACGATTTCATTTTCAAGTGTTTTTTCACTGGTCTTTGGACTGCCGTAGCTGAAACTCCTCGTTGATGTGCCAAATGTCTTATGGATTGAGTTGAATCTGTTCTAATTGATCTCTTTAGGTCTAAGTTGAAATGATGATCCCTGTTGCTGCTATGACGTCCTGATCCAGTTTTCCTCTCTACTGTTGCCTCTTTTTTAGACATTCTTTGTTCTCTTAATGTTTCTTGAATGGACTTTGAAGATGGAAGCCAGAGTATGAATGTTGGTACCATTACTGAAGGCTTCAATGATCTTTTTCCTCTCACCATTGCTCAATTGCTCAAAGACTTAGTGGGGCTGACACAAAACGATTTTAACCTGTTCTCTTTTTAGCTGAATTCAAAAGGTTTTTCAATGATTCCTACGACAAATCATCTCAATATGTCTAAATGTCTTATCCGAAAACCCGGTAAAAAGAAACTCAATTAGTTTAGTGATTATTAGATATTAAACATTTTGTTGGGTGAGAAATCATGCTGTTACACGATTTGTAAAATTTTTTTGTGATACTCGGTATATATTGTGTGCAAAAGTTCCCAGCTCATAAATTTGAAAAAGTAGATACTGAATACACAGTTAAAAAATAAAGAGATCGATAAATAAAATGATTTTTAAAATCTTTATAAATCATTTTTTTATACAAATTCGCAATAATTTGGCGAAAAGCATTTGATCCATTCACGTAATCAGAAAAATTCACATAGCCTATGGCCTTCGTAATAAAAAGATGTATCTCTTTAAAAAAAATTCAGATTCTTAAGTAAAAAGCTATCTACAACTTGAAATATATAAACAGACAGGCATTCACACACACACACACACACACACACACACACACATAAACACACACACACACACACATAAACACACACATAAACACACACACACACACCTCCTACTAGACAGATACATATACACAATTACGAATACACATTAACATCCGATGCTCGCTTAGGCATACTAGAATTATATATGTATATATATATATATATATATATATATGACACGAGTAAGAAGAATATATGTCTACCTGTATACCGAAATGAAATAGATCTGTCTTTGTATCAAGTAAGATCTAAATAAATTTATCGCTCTTCTTGTTACAGGCTTACCGTCAACGTTCGCTTCAGTACGGGCCGATCTTTCAAGAACAAATCACCACCGTGAAGACAGTAGTGATCAGTGACCCGGATGAATATAGTAAAATAATCAGAGCTGAGGGTCGAATGCCGATCCGCAGAGAAATGGAACCAATGGCATACCATCGAGTTAAGAACAACCTTCACCTTGGTCTTGTTAACGCGTAAGTAAATCTCGTTAGACTCAGTGACGATCGAATTTATTATAAACAGGAATAGTCAAAGAGAGTTGGCTAACCGTTGGGACACAGAGAGGCGCCCAGTCAACGCATAAGAAAATTTCAGAATTAATATTATCGATAACTTATTCTGGTACAATGACAGGAAATTAAGATTTTGTTGCACCAGCTGTTTTTTTTTTTTCTGTCGAGTAATTGGCAATAGTTAAATGTAATTGGCAGAAATGCCCAACAAACAGAATTGACAAAGTTTGCAATAAACAATAACAAGAGTAAAAAAAAAAAGAACAGGGTAAAAATAATCCTAAGCAAGCAAGCAAGCAAATAATATATGCAATACTAGTTCATCATTTTTGATTGGGGATTATTTTTCTTCTGAAATCAGTGACTTTAAAAAGTGGCTTCCCTCTATCTTTTCTATAAATATTTTCATGGCTATTGTTCTGATAAGCTTTCATCCTTGGTACCTCGGCTCCATGAATTGAAGTGTACTACTAGATTGTCAACTACACCCTTGTGCAAATTGATTGAAACAAAATGAATAATTCCGTTATTCATTGTGAAATGGACAAAGTCCGACAATTATTCTAAGATATTTTTATGTCTATACATTCTTTTTATAGATACAAATATTTAAGTAAATGCACTGTTTTATAACAAACAACATTTACCGGCCTGAATGTGCGAGAAATTGTTATAGAAAATATTCGTCCTCCGACAGGAACCGAACCTGTATCCTATACGGAACCGTCATATAGTCTGACGTGCCTTAACCGATTGAGCCACAGAGGATCGTTCGGTTAGCAAGGTCGATTTTAGTGCTTTTAAACTACAATCTTCCATGAATCTCTCACGTACATTCATATCTGCTCAATGCGTATCCAAATGTGAACAAATTCAGGCCGGTAAATGTTATTAATACTGTTTATTATAAACAGAGCATTTACTTAAATATTATTATTTACACAAAATGAAAGTTTTGTCAACGAGAAATTTTCGGTGTAAATAAGGTTTCACACGTCTCCTAAGTGCCTTAGCGCCTTAATAAATGTCTTCGCTTAAATACTGGCTAATTACTCTCGGAATAGTTACCGTCCCTGTATTAGCAGGCCTTGTGTCACATGATTAAAGTTTCTAGCTTTGCGTATAACGTCTTTACCAATCTTTATTTTTAGACAAGGAGAGGAATGGTACAAATATCGCACAGTCTACCACCGAAAGATGTTATTGACCAAAGAGATCCATCAATACAGTTCAGCTATGAATGAAGTTTCGAGAGATTTTGTAAACCGGTTGCAAAATATTTCCGAACAAGATGGCGAAGTGAAAAATATAGAAATGGAACTTTTCAAATGGGCAATGGAATGTAAGTCAATAATTTTTAATATATATATATGTGTGTGTGTGTATTAATTTTCTTGGTTGCACACACACGCACACACACACACACACACACACAAATATATATATATATATATATATATATATATATATATATATATATATATATATAAAATGGGAAATCCTTTCATAACAAAATTTTAAAGATGCATTAACCTACCAATCACTCGATGAACGCTATGATCTTTGTTTTTTTTTAATTATAAGCTGTACAAAGTTTTTCTTAAATACGCAAGTACTTTCAACTGTACATTCAGTCATCTTCAGGCATGGAAATTATTTTGTTTTTGGTAAAATTCAGGTAGGATCCGAGACAAAAAATATAATGCGAATCGAAATATGTTTTTTAATGTATTATTGATATATATACGTTATTATACACACATATATGTATACATTTTACGACCATAATAGCCTCTTACACATGCAAAAAACGGTTAAAAATAATGGGGAAATTAATAATATAAAGGAAGACGAAAGCGCTCGGATCAGCAGAACATTTGAACACTCTCTGCCCAGAAATCAAAATAGTTGTACAAGAAAAAAAATAATAATAAGCTTAATCGCAATGCCTTATCAGTCATCTACAATGAAACTTGCATAAAAGAGGAATTTCTGGCTAAGCACTCACACACATACTTACATGCATACACACACACACACACACACACATATATATATATATATATATATATATATATATATAAGAAAACGATATATAGTCTTTTATATATCAAGATTTATTTTAAGAAGAAAAGTTATGACAAAGTGGAAAATGTTTTCGTTTGACGTGTTTCGTCCTTTAGAACTTCATCAGATGAAATTGATGTTTACGCTGATGCGACTACACATGCACATAAATGAAAGAGACTGAAACTTTAAAATTTAAATCAAAAGTTTTTTGTTTATTTAAAATATGGTTTGGCTTGTTTTGTTTTGTTTTCCGGCATATCAACCTCAATGGGTTATTCAATGTCGACAAAATTTTTATTGCTGGCAATATTTTTTCTCCAAAAAATGTACAGCTGGTAATATTTTTTTCAAAAAATGTATTGCTGATAATATTTTTTTTTCAAAAATGTATTGCTGGTAATATTTTTTTTTTCAAAAATGTATTGCTGATAATATCGTCTTACCTAGGACGGTTAAAATATGTTTTGGATATATAGCCTAACCCATTTCATGTACTTTCTCTTTATATTATCACTTTTGTTATTAAACTTTCCGCATTGTGATAATAGAAGATCTACCAAGAAATATAAAATGTTCTAAGAAAATAGACGAAAATTTACTGCGGATTATCTAGCTAGATTCTCTCTCTCTAACTCTCTCTCTCTCTCTCTCTCTCTCTCTATCTATCTTTCTATATATATCTTTCTCTCTATATATATCTTTCTCTATCTCTGTTTCTCTCCCTATCTGTATCTCTTTCTCTCTCTCTCTCTCTCTATATATATATATATATATATATATATATATATATATATATATATATAATCACTTTTGTTATTAAGCATTCCACATTGTGATAATAGATCTGCTAAGAAAGATGAAATGTTCTAAAAAATAGATGAAAATTAACTGCGGCTTAGACTCTTTCTCTATCTCTCTCTCTCTCTATATATATATATATATATATATATATATATCTTTCTCTATCACTCTCTCTCTCTCTATCTATCTATCTATCTTTCTTTCTTTCTCTGTCTCTCTCTATATATCTATCATCTATCTATCTCTATCTCATTCTCTATCTCTATCTATCTGTGTGTGTGTCTGTGTGTGTGTGATGGATTTAATTCTATTTGCAAAACTTGAATATCACTTTGCGATGTGGCCAAGATCTATCAGAAATATAAAAAGCATAAAGTGTTACTCACCATAAAACAATTATTAGCAAGCTTATATCGTAGACCATTTCTAGTGTGTTAAGTTTAACCCTCACAAGATTCCCATAGCCTCATGCCATAATATTCTAAACTTAGTAAAGAACTAAAGCCAAATGAATGTAAATATTCTATTAACACTAATCTACTTATCTTTGTCTTTCTGTCCATTTAATATGATTTTTCTTTTAAGCGACACCAGTTATAAATTATCACTTTTTTTTTTTTTTTTTTTTTTTCGACTTTTTTGTAAACACTCCCATTTCATTTTTTCTTTTTACCTTTCTTCTAAAGCGATCGGTACTATCCTTTTCGAGGAGCGACTCGGATGCTTGGAATCACAACCTACTGCTCTTTCTCAAGATTTCATCAATAATTTACTTGGGTTTTTCAAGCTCATGCAACCATTGATGTACAACGCCCCCACCTATAAGATCTATCCGACCAAACTTTGGAGAAAATTTGAGTCTTATGCAAACAATGTGATCAGCATTGGACGAATGTTTATCGAACGGGTAAATACTGTTGCTGCCTTTCTAAATGTCAATAAAAAACTATTCTATGCGTTTTATTTATCCTGATTTATTGGTTAGTATTTCTTCTACGGCAGAGATTAGGCCTGGCCATTATGACCATTTACAACGCAGGACAATGTCTGTTCATTAACTGCCGATAATTAGAACCTTATCTATTGTCGTTCTATGATTCAACAGCAAATAACGGAAATTTCCACCAATCACACATATTCTGTGATATTTTATTATGCGATTCACTGTTTTTTACAATATACTGATATTAATCGATTTTTACACGATTTACATTCGAACTATTATCCTCGTCATTTTTTGCTATTATTACAACGTTTCTACCGTAGTGCTGTTCGTCCTTCTTCAGTTGCCCGACTGTGAATGCAGTCACGGGTATCTAGCCACCCCCCACGGGTGACAACAGCAGCAGGCGGTATCTGAGATAAGTCTAAGGTTTCCAATTCTAGTTCCAGGATTTTTTCACGAGAAAATAATTAAAGCGATGGTTCGTGAATTTGGTGACAGTGTAATTGTGAGTTCAATCCTTGGACTGGGTAGGGCATACCTAAACAAAGCAAGCAATAACAGACCAAGACGAAATAAGAACAAGTCGAGATTTCACTTGACTTACAGATCAGAAAGATAACAATGACCCATGGATGAAACAAAATAGTCAATTCAAAATTCCCTAAAGAAGGCCAGAGAGCACAACGACTGATATTAATAACAAAGATGAGGACGATAGTCTTAATGTAAGTTATATAATTACTGATAACTCCTCGTCCCAGAAATTCAGATAAAAATTAACCCAGTTGGTAATCTTTTCATAAAATATAATATATATTAAAATCTGACATCTGTGTGTGTGTGTGTGTGTGTGTGTGTGTGTGTGTGTGTGTGTGTGTGTGTGTGTGTGTGTGTGTGTGTGTGTGATTTGGACACGAGCTAATGTAATAGCAAACTTGTTTCGCTAGATCCGTTATGGCTTAGATCCTCACTGGGTGCTCCACACTTTCGGCCTTGTGCCACATCTAAGCTATGCCTAGAAAATCATTTGGGGACACTTCGACGTGGCGTAATGGTTAGCAAGCTTGTCTCATTCGGTCAGTTACGATTGAATAGTGAATTCGATTCTCACGGGTTACCCTATACTTTCGGCCTTGTGCCACATCTAATCTACACTTAGAAAGGCACTTTGCCGCAGTGGTTTCAATTAAAGTAATAAATATGTGTGTGTGTGTGTGTGTGTGTGTGTGTGTGTGTGTGTGTGTGTGTGTGTGTGTGTGTGATTGACGGAATGTTCCGTCATTTGCAGTTAATATTGTTACTTACTCTACTTGGGCCTTTTAATTCGCTTATAGTCAGATCCAGCTGGAAAGAGTTCGTCTTTCTCTCATCCAATGTCCTAATCACGAATCTCTCTCTTTGTTGATGTTTTGGATGCATATAATTTAGTAGCCAAACGATTTGGTACGGATGTACATAATTTGGTAACCAAAGTATTCACTGTTTTGTATGAGTTTCGAAAGTTCTCGAATTTTATCGATTAGTAAACAATCTTTAAAATATTTATCTCGAAGCTGAATAAAAGATGAACGTATAAAACGTAATTTATTTCTGTTATTAAGCAACCGTGCATAAAAATCTCATCTTTTTCTTCGCCTTCTTCCAACCAACAGAAAATGGAAACTCTCCAAAGACAAATGGACGAAGGAGTCAAAGAGGGACACGGTGAAACATCCAAATTTCTGACTTACCTTTTGACGCAGAAATCGCTTAGCCTTGACGAAGTAACCAGTTCGGCAGTCGATCTACTCAGCGGTGCTGTAGAAACGGTAAGAAAAACTTTTTTTATAGCAAAAATAAGAACAAACTTCAACATTCAAATAAGAAAATTAATCTTCAGAACTTTACGATTCCTTTCGAAACTAAAAGCGTTAAAAAATCGATGTTGCAACCAGATACTTTCTAACAATGCGCAAAAAGAATAATCCCAAATAATGGGGTCTGGAGTGATCGTAAATTAAGAATATTTACAGACGTTTCAAGATAGAGTGTTTTCTTCATTTCACGAATTATTCTGACTAGCATTCTCACATTTGTTGTCTATATTTTCTTCATGTTTCGGACTATATGCTGAACAGTTTTCTTCGGGCATCTTTAATTTCTGATTTACGCTCGTGTTTATAGGATGTCCCCAAAAATGTCCTCACTCTCGGACTTCGTCGTCAGTTTGAATATTTATAAACATTAATTTAATTTCATTCAACATTTAATTCAAACCGTTAGCCTCCTTTATAAGTCAATAAACATTAATATTTCTTATTTTTCACCGATAAAAACTTCATTTATTACCATTTAAAGAATAAGTACATTTTTGGGACACCATGTATATATATATATATATATATATATATTACCGAATAGGTATAGATGGAATAAAATTCCAATAACAAACACCACTATTTTTAAAATAGTGCTCAATACAAAGTAGAGCGAATAATATTTATTTAAAAATTATAGCATAAGCATGTTATAACATTACTACAAAAACAGCCAAGACACCAGAATGCTGACAAAACACCAGAAGTGTTGAAACAAAAAGGCAATTTTTGTAGTGATGTTATAATTTTTAAATATGTATGTTATAATTTTTAAATATATATATATATACTAGTATATGTACGTATGTATCTATGTACGTATGTAAGTTTATTAATAATCCCACAGCCTAATAAGAAAAGGATTTATTGTACAAAAATATATCAATTTTCAATATAATTTTCTTTTTTTATCAATGCACATAATCTAGGTTTTCTTCAGTTAGCATATAGAATGAACATTATACAGTGAAAATTTCAGATCAAAATGCATCGTTTGACTACATATTTTTTTTTTTATCCAGTCTCGTAAATATAGTGAAATAACAACACGAGTTTCAGACCCCAAATCTTTTGCGTTTCGTTACGTCAAATAGTTAATATTGTGTTCTTTATTATTATTTTTCAGACTTCCAATGCCATGCTGTGGACGCTATACTGTTTGGCGAAGCATCCAGAAATCCAAGATGAAATTTATAACAGCATCCGCAAGGCAGTTGGTGACAATGGGGAGATAACTCCACAAATACTCGGAAATTTGTCACACGTGAAAGCCAGCCTGAAGGAAGCGCTCAGGTATTCAATGTTCTGTTGACCTAAATACACTATATATATATATATATATATATATATATATATATATATATATGTGTGTGTGTGTGTGTGTGTGTGTGTGTGTGTGTGTGTGTGTGTGAAATATAAAAAAAAAACATATAATGGCAAGATACCAAATAAGAACCAATTCACCAAACACAGTTAATCTATAATCATATCCCCAGGGCATCATAGAATATAGACGTATTTCGAGTTTAATTTGCATTTATTTCTATGTAAGACGTCCATCCCGTTTGGGACCACATCTCAATTTCAGTGTCACCCAGGAATTTTTTTTTTTAAATTCATTGTTTCACGATCTTTCTTTTAATATATATTGTAACCTAGAAAAGGTTACTGAATGAGGAATAACCAAAACGGAGGTCGAGAATAAAATGGTAATCTTTATAACATCAATAAAATACAATATTCGCCAGCAGCGTGAAATAGGTAAACCACTGCTAGTGGTGGACTACTTAGACAGCATATTACGATATTTACCTGCCTCCCCCCAAGGCAGAATGCGGCACAAGGCGAAATTTAATGTGGGAAAATCCGAGCCCGTAGCAAAAATTGCCCGTAGACCCCGTATACGCGAGATTGGGTATCTGTCTACCTTCCCGGACGAGACTCTGCCCTTCGGTACAGCCTCGTCCGGGTTCTTCTCTGTTCGACACCCAAGTGCTACCCACGCTGCCAGCTTGGTCAGCATATTACCCCCACTTACAATAGTGTCCAGCGTATTTATGAGAATTGGGACATACCCATTAGTGTTCATAGGTACGGTATATAACAATATATTTATAAAATCTTAGATAACCATATTGTATAAATCGTTATAATCGCGGCAATAAAGAATTTATCTTTTGACAGTTGATAAAAAATACATAACACCACTGAAAAGATGGTAATAGTAACACTAAACTAATTAAGGCCGGAGAGCATAACGGCCAAAACGCTGTGATAACAACAACAAAGATGAAGACAATAGTCCGAATCTAAAGAGTATAAATAATACAGTTAATTTCTTTAATATCTCTGTATATATTTAAAACATTGAACATATGAATATAAGTGATTCGTTTTATATTTTTATCTTACTGAATGAAATTCTCTCTACGTTTATTTGTTGACAACAGTTGATCAAAATTTAGTTTAGTTTTTAATTGACTTCATTGTCTTTCTTTTGAAATTTTCAAATTGAAATAATTTATTGTATGCATTTTTTCGTAGGTTATATCCAATTACATATGCGACCAGCCGAATTTTGCAAGACGACATCGAAGTGTGTGGTTACCATCTGCCAGCCGGCGTAAGTGGAGCTTACTATTAATGTAGACATCAAATTACTTCAAAACATTTTCAGTTCTTTAAACAAAAGTATTAAATAACTAGAATACCAATGTATAAGCTGGGAAGTTTTTTTGCTTTCTAAATAGCATACATTATATCAGATTCTATTATGCAAGTCAATGTTTTCACAATAAAGTTGGCCTTAACTAACCGATGTTGATATAAATTACCAGGATATATTTACATAAGTAACATATCGTGTGAATTTTAACTTGTAAAATCAATTCATGTTAAAGATTTCATTATACAAAGCGCAATATACATTTTTATTTACAAATAAATCCGAAAGATATAATATCGTGTACCCGTAACTTATCAGTGTCATAAGGGTAGCATATATACTGACACCATAACAGGTTTAGGTGTGTCTCGAGCTAGATAACCTGACGGAGCCCATTCCTCTTCAGGCTGGTTTTGAATTCAGAGTTTTCAAATTGTTACCTCACGGCAAGAGAACTCAGTCCACCATACTTTTTCAGTCATAGCTGAAGTTAGATGCATTCATGCTTTTTTTTACAAAGGTATTAGTGATAAATGAACGAAGCAGAATCGTGCAAGAATTGAACTCTGCACGCCGACTTCACTATCGTGCCTCCCGAAAAATATGCCACAAAAACATTTGATCTATACAGTATAAAAATTGAAATCCTTTCCTTTTTTCTAATCTTTGGCTCTCAGGATGCATTTGTCGGCTGCTTTCTCCTCGCTTTTATATTCGGTTCTTATTGGTTCTTTTGACTTGTGAGAATAGGGGTGAAAAATTCTGAACTTGACCCAACATTTGAACATCTGACCCAACATCTCAAAATCTGACCAAATGACCAAACACTTAGAATCTATTTTGAAATCCCTTCTAGTTCGAGTCAAAAAGAATTTCTGTAATAGTTCGTAATGTCGATCTTAATCGATATATAATCCCACCATTAATCATTCTTTTTCTTCTTTTGTTTTATTCAGACTCACGTTCAGGCCAATATCTTTGGCATGAGTCGCAATGAGAAACTTTTCCCGGAGCCTCTTGAATATCGACCCAACAGGTGGGTGGGGACCAACCCTGATAACAGATTCAAAGCTATTTACAATCTTGTCTGGGGCCATGGCGCTCGGATGTGCATTGGTAAGTATTCAGCTTCGATTAGAAATTTTATTCATGGATTTTTTTTTTTTTGCATGTGTGTGTGTTTATGGCTTATCAACCAATTTTGATTTCTTTAAAGTCGAAACATTTCCAACAAAAGAATTATTTTTTCTCCCAGCTTTTCTGTATTGAACTTAAGGTAATCTTATTTTCAAAATGGCTGGCAGAATATATAAATAACTTTCGACATGAACTAAAAATGATAATGATACCGAATAAATATTAACGACTTTTTTAAAAGTCACTCATTCACTTTTTTTTTTCATCACGAGAAACGTCAGCTTAGCGGGAAAAGTACTAACAATTTATTATTTAAGCATACACACAAATCCACACACAGATATTTTCTTTCTTTCATTTTTTGATCTGATGATGACTAGAAAGGCAAAACCCGTAATTAAATCTAGTTTCAATGAAGCGGTTTTAGATTTGTCATATATATATATATATATATATATATATAGTGGTGGCCACTTCCGTCGTATTCAACGTATGAGGGTCAAGCAGTTCAGTTCCTAGGAACCGACAGCCCAGACACCCGCACATATGATTTGATTATAGTGGTGAAGTCATTGTGCAGAACCAGCCAGATTTTTTGAAGGGCCGAATACACAGACCTGGTGCACTACGTGCCACAAGGTCCCCAAACGACCCTGCGCAGGTTTTGAATTCAGAGTTGTACTTCACCTAGACCAGTTGCCATCCAAAGCTATAGAACCCAGTCTGTCCTGCTATTTAGCCATAGCTGGAGGGAGAAGAGGATTAATACCTTTCCCAAAGGTATTAGCACGTAAGGGAATGTAATGGATTCGACTCTCCACTACTTCCACCGTATATATATATATATATATATATATATATATATATATATAATTAAAGATAATTTCGAAGAAAAGAGTGAACTAGAATTCCCTCCGATCCCAACCATGGCTGTTAATTTAGACCAGTCTCCGTATATGTACAATATCCGGTTTTATTTTCCCAAAACCCCTAATCCACTCCTTTATTTTCTATCTCCTTTTGGTCAAAGTGCATGTCATAAATGCTTGAGACAGGGATAAAACCACATCTTCTTTTTCTACCTGGGTGTTCATAGTATCAGGATATTAATTTCATTTCGAATAAAGATAACGAGAAATAAAATAACTGCTGACAACAATAGGAATGGAATTCGTGAAAGTGGAAAATGGAACGCTTTGTCATAGAGATTATCACATTTGCACGACTCAACTATTCATTCGTTTCGTGTGTATTTCACTTTTTTTTTTTTTCTTGTTTTGTAGGTCGCCGAATTGCCGAACAAGAAATCTTCATTACTCTTACCAAGGTGAGTCTATGAATCTTTTCTTCGATATCAGGTTTGAATTGCAGACACCCCTTATAGGGTCGTTGGTGCATTTTTTGTAATGCAGCTGCAAGAGCAACAACAGTTGTATTCAGAGTGAATTCACACAACACACATAAAAACAATCACACGTATTTCAACCACTGAGTTTAAGATATAGTTAAATACATGGTTGGCGCGCTAGTTTCGATATAAACTATTGCTAAGTCCTTTCTTGAATGCTTTATCAATATAATCTTTTGCCTGACTCGGCTTAGTTAAATAAATGCAGATGTTTTATTTAATTACTTTAGTATAGTTGGGCACAAGGTTAAGAGAGTAATGGAGAGATTATTTTGCGCCAATTTTGCAAGAGCGGAGAGTTAGCCTGCCTGTTTTGAAAATCAACAACCGAGACCTTGTAGTTTTAACTGGGCACGAAACCCGATTGCAGATATCATTAGGTATAATGCACCCTTCTCCGTTTATAAGCAAACTTTAATCTAACATATTTTTTCATTTCACTCCAAGCAAGGCAATAAAGCCACTACGACACAAGGTGTTAATGAATATCAAAGAATAAGAAACAGAAAAACATTATTAATGATCGAGTACAATAAAAGAAGAGGATATCAAGTAAATAATGAATAACAATGCATTTCAATTTTTGAATATCAATGTCAGCTGGAAAGGAAGAGACCGGAAGAGAGTTCTGTGGTCGAGAAAAGAAACGAGAATTTACGATTACATCTAGCCAATTCAATCGTAAAATGATGAGACCTTGTTGTAAATCTAGTATTACGCTTAAGTTCATAAAGCCTATAACATCTATATAAAGTCTATATGTACTTTTGAGCAAAGATCATCAGCAAAATTAAAATGAAAGTATTTATAGAAAAGCTACCGGGAATCGACATTAAGGTGATGGAAAAAAGACTGAAGCTGGGGTGCCAGGTCAGGACAAATAGCATTGCATATTCTTATTTTGAAATAAAGAAATAAAAAGGAAAGAGCAAAATCTAACGATGTGCCATTCAGTACTGCTATTTTGATAGCGCGGAATGAGGCCAGATGGGAAGAAAGTAGAAAGATTGTGTTGCGCCAAGTAAAGAATCCTACATACAAATCAAAGCCTTTCAGATGATTTCTCCCCTGACCTATCTCTAAAAAGCTAAATATGGAAAAAAAAAAAACACTGGCTTGTTACATTCAATACCTCCAAAATCAAACAAGTATCATATTATCACCGTTCAGATCATGAGTTCTTCCCAGTCACGATTAGCATTCCACTCTGAAGTCGTATGCTTTAAACGGCTGTTAGGTCTCATGTTCACTCTCAGCGTCAAGTGAAACTCATGTATGGGGAAAAGGCCAATTTCTTGTACCGCTTCCGGAAGTGTTCGGCTCCTTCTACCATGCTCTTATCTTTACAAGAGTCAGATTAAACCAAAGCTGGAATACTACTACCATATTCGGCATGGAGCTGTTCAATCCACACTTTTCAACATTGATTTTGATATCTGTCTATATCTCTGGTATTATGATTATTTACATTATTTACCCTATTCGGGCTGTTATCCTCATCTTCATTGTCATACTCACAACGAAAAACAATGAATAACAACACAAAAATTGCAATATAAGCTCTGGTAAAAAATATGCAATAATAATAACGGAAAAATTGCAATATGAGCACTGGTAAAAAACGGTTGCTAAGACATTAGTTTTATAAGTCCCAGAAATTCATACACAGATGTTCTCAAGGACACATGACACAGTGGTAAAAGACGTTGATTAGATCCCGTTGTGAGTTCAATACCAGGTCACAGCAGTGGTGAACCAAAAAACTTGGAGTTTTGAATTAAAGGCACATAGAACTAGAACAATAAAAGGGTTTGATTCGAAATTCCAATCACCTGAAGGTCGGAGAGTACAACGGCCGAAACGTTGTGAATATGGCAATGAAGATAGGGATGACAGTCTGAATAATGTAAATTGATTTTGTAAAGATTGAGCTCAAAATCGTTTATGCAGTCTTGTGGAATATATCTTTTTCCCACTCTAATAGTCCCACAAGTTCAGACTTTTATAGCGCGGACACGGCATGATACTTCCACGAAGTCGAATCACCTTCATTTCCCCCGTATTCCAAATATAAGGAAAATGTTCCACTCATTTTTTCCAAAGAACTGACACTTTTTGTAGAACCAACTCAAACAGTACAATCTTAAATTCTTAAATCAAAGAGCAATCATTATATATTCCCCTAATCCTTATAATTTTCATTTACTACACCTCCTCTTTCATTCATGTCACATTACCATTTTAACAGTACCTTGTGTAGCTCTTGATCCTTGTAATGGATGAATTTTATCATAAAAATATATTTGATCACCAATTTAGCTCCTGGCACCGGTATCTCCATCACTTCCCGCGGTTATTATATAATCTACTGGTCCCTCTCTGCAATTCCAAAGCCAAATGATACAATAATATTTTATATGTATTAGATAGTGTTCTGTCGTCGTAAAGTTTATTTAGTGGCTTTTTACTTTCCTCGAAAATCTTAGTCCTTCAATAATTAAATGTACGAATGACACTCTACTATTTCTAAATAGTTCTTTTACTTTTTCTTCAGATTCTACAGAACTTCCGAATGGAATACCACGAGGAAGACGTGGAACCGGTGCTAAACACAGTCATGACACCTGATCGACCTTTGCGTATCAAGTTCCTTCCACGTCAGCATTGATCGGAACTTGAGATTTTCGCATATTCCACTGGAAATTCCTGATTCAGCTACTAACTGTGATCGATAATTTACAAACACGGACAAAATGAATTTATTTATTTTTGTACTTCTTTTAAGATTGGTCCATTTTTTTGTGTGTGTGTACAGTGATAGTATTTATAGGTTGATGGGTGATTGAATGTCTATTTGAGTACGAATGCTTGCTGGTGTATAAGGAAGTGAAGTGCGTGTATTTTTCCCGATTAATAATCTTACAGGTTTTATACGCCTGTCTGCATGTGTACAATTCGTGTGAGAGTGAGGGGGGTGTATATGCCAGTGAAATGGAGTGATGAATGAGATTATAAATGGAGATTTTCACATGACTAATTGTTATTATTCCATAAAATAAAGTACGATTCTCATCTTTATTTTTATTTCTACAGTACATTTTTTAGTCTTCCTCAGATGCATACTTTATCTGGGTTTTTTTTTTTTTACTTCTAATAGATAATTCTAAAATAAAGTGTTTAAGATATCGCCTACAGCCGCAATTCGATAATCAGTCGGAAATAATAGTGACGTAGAAAAACCCAAATGATTGATAGAATAATCCACGCAGCTGTTTTTGTTCTACCGAATATAGGCAGCCACATAGCACTAAACACTAAACTACACTTGTAACCTCTTTATTATGTACACCCTCAGTGTGGTGTTCAATTATTTAAACATCATCTCATAAACGGAAATGCTCCTCCTTTTATCTCTCTTATATGTTCAGGTTTGATTATTTCATCACAGATAATAGCTTTTCATTATTCTTCAAGTTTAATTTTCCAAGAGCAGCTGGTTTCTTTTTTGTGTTCCTACCATAAGAACATGGGAGGTTGTATATACAATTTTTGATTATATTTTCCAAGGAGAACTGAGCTTTAGGATGAGGTTATATAATTTGCAATTTATAAAAATATTAAATCAGTGATCAGAGCATGCGAACCAAACAGCTTGATTACAATATGTTTTCGGTATATGCCAACAGGCGTGAACGAATTTACTTTTCTAAATCTATTGTCATGATCAAATAGGCCACTTCTTTATATCGACGTCAAAATCTGACTAGCAAAAACAGTGTCCATCAACGCCACTTTCACAAATAATACGACTTTATTTATTTATTAAGTTTTGCCTGAGAACGTTTCAGGTACTGGACACAAAAATAAAGAAGAAGAAACGTAGGAAATAAAAGATGCATGAGGTCGTTTTTTGTACCCAGCGAGCAGCCAGTTCTACTTAATATAAACCAAACTAGGTCCTCACTTAACGTTGTGGATAAATTCTTTAACAAAATGATATAAAATAGAACCAGATTTGCCTTACGAGAGTCGGCGGAAAAGTTCATATGCTGACCAAGATACTTTCATGGCATATGACCAAATGAGGCTTATTTTTCGACATATTTCCTCTTGCGGTCCACACACTTTTTGCCAAATGTTGTCCATTTTAAAGAGAAGTCGCTACCAGTTACTGCTGAAAGTCTTCTTTGAACAGTCAGACGTCAGTTTAGCTTTAAAAAAAACAATGACGTTATTAATAAGAAGAGTTGAAATTAATGCATGCAAGATTTCACAGCTCAAGCATCATTCCTTCATCGTCAACCAATGAACTTTTCAGCCCCCAGTTGACTCGATGATAGAAAGACAAGTTTGATCCTACGATTATGTGCAAGTTAGGCAATTTGAGGCCACTCAAAATTGAGCGTTTTGAAACACGCGGAGCAGCCATAAGTTTTCATTCGCAACAAAGTTTAGTTTTTTATTTCCTTCAAATAAAGTTAAAACATTCATCTGTGTGGCAAGTAGTTAACATGGCCGCTGAATAAAGTCCTCTATTATTACACTTAAAAGTATTTTCATATTTTCTGTTGTATTTATCTTTCTGTTGCTAATTAATTTTATAATATCTAAACGTTTACATTTTTGGCACAAAGTTTAATCATTTTTCAGTGTTATTTCAAATTAGTTGTAGAATTGTCAGTTGCAGACCAAGAGCTCCTTCAATACTTGCAATATATCCGTAACAGGTTTAATCTTGTTCCCAATCTTACGCATTTTCCCCTTCTTTTCTATGCCCAAAAACAACAATGTCTTTCAATGCATGTTTAACGGGGGTAAAGCAGAAATAAATATTTCCAGTGGGAAAATCCGAAGTAGAACTTCCTCAGTTCAAAATTAAAACTATCATAAATGCCAGCCATGATGCATTTAGCGGAAGTATTCGCCGAACGCTTTTGAAAGGCGTCATTACTGGTTGTGCATTTATATGATTAATGTATACTTTAGTAATTTTATAATATTTGTTTTTTTTTCTTCCTGGCGTTATGACGAAACAACGTTAAGTGACGACCTACTGTAATATATATATATATATATATATATATATATATATATATAGAGAGAGAGAGAGAGAGAGAGAGAGAAAGAGATAGAGAGAAACGTGAGAAGATGATATATATATATATATATATATATATATATATATATATATATATATATATAGTGAGTGAAAGGAAGAAAGAGACTAGGTGTGAAAGAAAAGAAAGATGCCTTGCTTTGTTTCGCATGAAATGGCGTATGTTATCCAGTAGGATTTTATTGAACATATCGTAACAAAAACATGAACCAATTTTACTCGACGAAAAGATCATTAAGTTATATTATATATTTTTTTAAGCTAAAATCATTTGCAATATTATTGCTGATTTTTTTTATTTTTTTTTTTTATTTTTATTTTTTTTTGGGCCAGTGTGCCTGAATGAAGGGGGGGGAGAATTGAAAGTGCGAAGACAATCAATTATAAATCATTCATTTGTGAAATTAAATTTAAAAAAAGGTAAAATTCCAATCAAAAAATTCCAAGATTTTCACCTGGGAATTAAATTATATACATCCACGCGCATGCGCTTTTATATATCAAAAATGATTCTTTTTAAATATTAAAAAAAACTATCAAAAAAAGTGTAACGCACAAGCAGTCCAGTACTGATATCAATGTGTCACCAATGTAACAAATTGTGTCACACTTTTAAAAGCTTTCACACGGTGTAACACAGTTAGAATGGTAACATGCCAAATTGATTAATAGAAAACAATTTTAAAACTGTACTGCGACAAAACCAAGATTTAAAAAAAAAGCAACTTTCAAAAAAAGAACGTTGAAGTTTCGCATATTTCAAAATGTCTTTAAAACAAACACCATTTTGTATTGTAACTTGGATAACGTGGTTTCTTGACAAACTGCACTGAAGCCCGTGTTCTTGCAACTTTCTCTTAAGATTTCGTAAAGTTTACAGTTGATCTGGAAACTGAACGCTGGTTCTAATGTATGTCAATATAAAAGATGATTGGACGAGGATTGAGTTTTCATAATACCTGCATGAGTCTACAATTGTGACTCGACAGATATCATTAGTCTCCGGAGAGACGAAAGCCTGCGACTCCCACCCAATCATAGTTCTTCTAATTGCTTAATGTTACACTTTGTCATTATTTATTGTCTAATATTATGTACACAACATTTTGCCATGTATTGTTATCGACTAAATCTATGGGCGTGTTTGCTATGTGTATGGCTGTATTTATCCCGCGGTCTGTATGAGTGAGATGTGTGCATTTGTATTTACAAATATATGGCTACGAGTTCTTCTGAGACGTCTGCGTATTTGGTGAAGTAAGTATTTGACAACTCAGTCTTCGTACATTGATCTATAATTAAGAAAACAAATAAAATATATCGAGAATCCATTGGCCTTGATTTTTATTTTGCTTCTTACAAAAGATCACGATACTTCAATGTGGTAATTCCGTTTGTTTGTACCAACAAAGTAGTTTTAACATTGACAATGATTATAACCAGTCGAATATAAAAACGCTTTTCATTACCTCATGTGTAATCAGAACATGGTATAGAGAGAAGAAACTGTGTTTTTATTAAATCCAGGGTTAATCTTTTACAATTTAAAGATATCATTGCAATGAATGTAAATCAGTTAAAATTCGTTATCCATTTCTTAATACTGTCAGCTGGTTATTGTTACCTAAAAGAACAAAAGTTGCCAGAATAAAATACTTCCTTTGTAAACACACATACACACAAATATATATTTGGTTGAATAATCTAGACATATGTCTATTTATTTTTATTTTAATACTCTCAAGTTAACGAAGCGATTTCTTTGTGTCTACACAAAATTGATCAAGAAGAAAACCGTAATTATCCATATCAGCTTTATTTTCACAAGTACTTTGAATCTCATCCAAGATCATCTTCAGTGATTGAATTTCTAAGACAAAAAATTAATGTTAAGTTATGAATATGTGATCATGAACGCTGTAACATTCGAAAAATCTTAACCGCTCTGTAAAGGATTTAACTCAACTATGTAATTCTTATTTGAATCATACGGGTTTTTTAAAATATTTTTAATTGCAGTTTTCAACAATTATAATTTAGATATTTTTAAAAAGTTTGCTGTTATAAAGATTTTAGAACTTTGTTGCTATACCCATAATTCAAATCATCAAAACTTTATTTGGCCAAACAGGACCCGAAGATATTTTTTTTTAATTTACCCTGTATCTTGAAATAAAAATGCAATAAAACGAAGAAATTATTTTTAATTGCTTTTATGGGAACATTTGTCTTAAGAAAAAGAAATTTCGATGCCTAGTGAAATTTTATAAGAATTGTTTTTATTTTTAATTTATTGGAAATTTTCTAAAATTTTCTCAAAAAATTGTCTTCGTTAGTAATGTTATAAAGCCAAAGTACCTAAGATTCGATAAAACATTAGAGAGTCGGTTGAAAAATTCATAGGCTGACCAAAGTGCTCAGAAATGTGAGCAAATGAGATTCATTTTTGAACATAGTCCTCCTTGCTGTCTACATAATATTTCCATCGGTGTTGCAGTACTTGAATTCTCATTAGTGAAGAAACTTTCATCCTGTTGGTAAAAAAAAGTCAACAGTAGAAGATATAACGTCATAATCACTGCGACAGTGGTTCCGAGTTAAGAGTTGTTTTTTGTTAGGTAACATTATGATTGTCAGATGCGACCAAGTTAGGGGAATAGGTAGAGTGATCAACCAGGTCAAAGCCACAGTCACGTACAGCGACCATTGAAACCAAGGACTTATGTGCTGGAACGTTATCCTGATGAAACAAGACACGTTTTGTCAGTTTTCCTTGACATAGTACTAACAAGTGATGGTGTGGCCCTGTTGAAAATAGTCTATAAATACCTTTTGCATCCCAATATCTAAAGCCACCCCCTTCTCTGTAGTGAATAAAAAGGGCAGGGGAATAAAAGTGTTTCCACTGCATGGATTGCCTTTTTGTCTCTGGCTCAAAGTGATGAACCCAACATTCATCCTGGGTTAGCTTACGATACTCATGTGGCTTGCGAGGGGGTTTCGAAATACAACAGTGTCCATATACCGGAGGAACCTCACTAAATTCATCCTGGTAACATTACTTAAGAGACCGGAGGCAGACGAATGCAAATTCCACAAGGTAATCAGTTTAATGAGCCACATCACCCAACTAATGATGCGAATCCTGATGAACAGTCTGGTGTAGAATCAGACCAGAAATAGGACAGAAACAGGGCGGCTTTGTCAAGGACACCGAAACAAGAAATGCGATATTCATAAACATAATGATATCAGAGAGAGAGAGTAATATAGGTTCATAGGGATGTGCACTTATGTTTTATAGATTACGCGAAGCGCATTTCACAAGGTACGGCACATTTTAACTGCTAGGAAAACTCAATCTAATTGGAAAAAATGTTAGATTAATACAAAACTCATACGGGGAAGAAACCCCCTCCATACGGATAGAAAATGAGCAGCTGCACAAAAATAGAAAGGGGCATAAGACAAGGGATGTGTCTTCTGTAGATTTATTCAACTTCTACAGTGATACTATCGTATGGGAACTGAGGACCCTACCAGGATTTATTCTTGGTGAGTGTAATCTTAACAATATAAGATATGCAAATGGCACTGCGTTTATAGCCGAGTCAGAAAGAAAACACAAGGACGTCTTAAATAGGGTAGTAGAAGGAAGATCAAAAAAAGAACTAACCACCAACTGCAAGAAGACAGAAAGAGAAAAAAAAAGCTCAAGACGCAAGTTACAAATTGGGTACATCAGTATCAAGCAGACGCAGAATTTTAAATATTCGGAAAATGTTTTAACAGAGGATGGAAAATGTGACACCGAAATCTGAAGCAGCATTGGACTAGTGAAAGATACATTCCAAAAGTTAAGTAAGGTACTGAGAAACGGAAAAAAGCATTGTAAACAAAGAAAAGCGTACTGGATTGTTATATCTATTCTCTTATATAGCAGTGAGTGCTTGACAATCTCCTCACGGATGAGGAGAAAACTGGAGGCAGCAGAAACGGATTTCTAGAGAAGGTGGATACCGGAAATTCGATGAATCTTATTTTTTTTACATGTCAACAGAAAGAACACATGCTCAGAATAAAAAAGAAGATAGGTGAAATTCCTTAGACACATGATGACAAAGGAGGCCTTTGAAAACTTAACACTTACGAGGTATGTTGAGGGTAAGTGAGAGAGGGGGAAGGAAGCAAGCCATTTACCTGACGAGTTTGTGTGAATGTCATGGCGAAACGAAAGGAGAGCGGTTGCTTAGCAAAAGGATAAAAACTGCTAAGAAACACACAAGATAGAATGTTGTGGAGAGCCATGATCGCATATGTCCTTAAGGGACGCGAAACATAAGAGAAGAATTTTTATTTCCGTTTTTATCAGTATAAATTCAGTCGCGTAGAAAAATTCAATTTTGTAGAAGCCTGATATTTCATCGTTTTTGTATCCAATTAATCCTTTTAAGTCTCCATAGAAAAAAGAAAACGAAAAACTTTTCTTTCCGTCCCTCAATATATATATATATATATATATATATATATATATATATATATATAAAAAGAAAGAACAGTAAGATATATAATCCGGTGTTCTTATAGATATTTTTATTTTTACAAAATAGTTTTTTAGCTTTCATTTTTGAAACATGGTTAGAACTGTGTAGCGAAAAAAAACATATTTCAAATCAATTAATTTATAATATATATATATATATATATATATATATATATATATATGTTTCTATCTTCCTCTCTCTCTCTCTCTATATATATATATATATATATTTTATCTCTCTCTCTCTCTCTCTCTCTATATATATATATATATATATATATATATATATATATTTCTATCTTCCGCTCTCTCTATATATATATTTCTATCTTCCTCTCTCTCTCTCTCTATATATATATATATATATATATATATATATATATATATATATATATCTTTTCTCTATATATCTGTTTCTATGTCACTCATACTCAATAATTTACTCTAAAACTTTATCCTTGCAGCCAATGTATAATTTTCTGCAAATAACTTGTCTCTTCACATTGTTCTAGTCGCTTTCATTTCAGAGTATCTACATAATCGTCAAGTCCTGTATTATCTCTCAGAAAACTACGTTATCCCTTACCCTGAGAGCATTAGACAACATTGCTATGTCGTGGGAGAGAGCTCTCTGTGAGCGTGAAGAGACGTAGGATTCAGTATTGCCTATGTAATCATTTGAGGTACATATAAAAACGTTTACCTCAATACATTAAAAAATAACGACACATTGTGGAGGGAGAACTCTAATTTTATTACCTCTCTCTCTCTCTCTCTTTGCTCTCTCTCTCTCTTTGCTTGCTCTCTCTCTCTCTCTCTCTCTCTCTCTTTCTCTCTCTCTCTCTCTCTCTCTCTTTGCTCTCTCTCTCTCTCTCTCTCTCTCTCTCTCTCTCTCTCTCTTTTGCTCTCTCTCCCTCTTTCTCACTAAGTGAATAAAATATAAAAATAAAAAATATATAAGCAGTCAATTCCTGATACTCCTTGAAGAATGGACAGACAGGTCCACCTACAAAACTCTGTAGTCGAGATGCTGAAGGTAGCATCAATCAGCTGTGACTTATATTAATTCTCTCTCTCTCTCTCTCTCTCTTTTGCTCTCTCTCCCTCTTTCTCACTAAGTGAATAAAATATAAAAATAAAAAATATATAAGCAGTCAATTCCTGATACTCCTTGAAGAATGGACAGACAGGTCCACCCACAAAACTCTGTAGTCGAGATGCTGAAGGTAGCATCAATCAGCTGTGACTTATATTAATTCTCTCTCTCTTTGCTCTCTCTCCCTCTTTCTCACTAAGTGAATAAAATATAAAAATAAAAAATATATAAGCAGTCAATTCCTGATACTCCTTGAAGAATGGACAGACAGGTCCACCTACAAAACTCTGTAGTCGAGATGCTGAAGGTAGCATCAATCAGCTGTGACTTATATTAATTCTCTCTCTCTCTCTCTCTCTATATATATATATATATATATATATATATATATATATATATATATATATATATATATTCATTGAATAATAAAGACATATTGTGTCTACTTATTTCTATACAGATCCTTTCCAGTTGTGTAATCATTTTCCCAACCTGTTCATTATCTATCTATCTATCTATCTATCTATCTATCTATCTATCTGTCTGTCGGTCTGTTTTTGTCCGTTACTTCCCTGTCTTTTGATTTCAGAGGCACAGACATTTTTTGTTGGTCTGACAATTGCTTTTTTACTGTCCCTTTACATGATCCAGGTCTCTAAATCCTGTTGGATGCTATCAGTTGCAGACAGCATTCATTTTCACAGCATCCTACAGTTTGCTGGACATTGCTGAGAGCAGCTTTCAGAGCCTATATGTATATAGGGCACTGAGAAAACGATGTATAATTTTGTATACATAAAGAATAATAATGGGGAAAATGTATGAAAAAGTGGCAAAAAATGTTTTCGTGTAACGCGTTTCCACTTTTAGGACTTCATCCTTCTAAGTTTGTTACGTTGGTGCGACTACACATGCGCAAGAACGAGAGAGTGTCCTACACATAACGTTCCCATTGTGACCGTTACCCTCTTACACACAAGAAGCAAATTGTAAGTGTGCATCATGAGATATTCTTAAGGAGATCCTATAGAGTAAATGTGGCATTTTGTTAAATGAAACATTCTGAATCGAAAAGGGAGGGGGTATGGTGAATGGAAGATGTAGTGAAATGGCTCACGAATTGAGTAGAATAGACTCGCAAATAGTGCGTTATGTCCACTTATCTTTTCGCCGTATGACGAACGATATATGTAAGTTGTAAGTAAACATCTGGGAAAGAGAATAGCGGAGTTTACGATTTGTCTATTAGACGAACAATCTATCTATCTATCTATCTATCTATCTATCTATCTATCTATCTATCTATCTATCTCTCTCTCTCTCTCTCTATATATATATATATATATATATATATATATATATATATATATAAAACTATGAACCTAAACAGCTTAGCTTTCACCTATATATATCTATCTATCTCCTAAACAAAATTAGCTATCTATCTATCTATCTATCTATCTATCTATCTATCTATCTATCTATCTATCTATCTATCTATCTATCTAAACATCTATATCTATTCTATCTAACCATCTCGTATACGACCTATCTATCTATCTATCTATCTATCTATCTATCTATCTATCTATCTATCTATCTATCTATCTATCTAACCATCTCGTATACGAGCAATACATTATCTTAAAGTTGTAAAAATCAAGTGTTTCTAAAAGATTTTTAACTCACTTACAAATTATGCATTTATTTTAAAATAAAAAAGAAATCCGTGGTGGGTCAAGTAATTCAATCTTCATTCCAGTAAATAAACGTTTCCATGAAGGCGAAAAGAAAACTAAAAGCAACATTATTTTTGCCAATTTGAGCCACGATCCCTGCCACTTATTATCCGACACCAGAAAATTCAAGACAGTAGCTTATATTTATCTTCCATAAAAAATGTATGTCGACGCAAACTGGATTTTGTATCATTTTAATGTGGCTGTTAATTATGCAAGCTTAGTTGAGTGACGAAAACAGCTGAAACGCAAAGGACAATAATGAGTGGAACACCGAAAAGAGATTCAAGTTAGGGAGGAGACGCCGGTCGATCACGAATAAAATTACACGGGAAACTTATGCTGTGGCTCTGCTGCTCGTCCAGCTGACGCCATCGATTAAAGTTGTAAATAGAAATCATTTTTTCTCCCATTTTCCAGGTTAAACAAATATAAGTGTCATTTTTTTCATTTGCCTATCGTCAACGGCGAACGGGGCTTCCTGGTCAGAAAAGTAACAACGCATTTGACTTGTCAAGATGGGGCAGATAAACGGTGTGTTCTCGGAAAAAGAAATGGAAGCTTTCGAGGTAAGATATCTATTTATCTATCTCCTATACGATCTATCTATCTATCTATCTATCTATCTATCTATCTATCTATATATATATATATATATATATATATATATATATATATACATACATACATAGAGAGAGAGAGGCAATTAATAAAATGTAAAATTTGTCACTTAACTAACTGATGTTATATTCAGCACCCCGACTCCAAAATTTCGTAGACGAAACTTTTATAATCGTTCGGTCCACTCGTCAGGAGATATCAGCAATTGTATATATATATATATATATATATATATATATATATATATATATATATATATATATATATATATATATACGCTTAAAATAATATAAAGAATAAAATATTTTCATAGATGATTATCCACTCGAAACCCCGATCCATTTCTTGTTTTAGTAGACGATTAAAAACGAAGACAAAATTCTATAAATTATCTCCAGTAGTACTCTCAACGCAAAATTTTGGCCGATGTGTTCTTTGGGCTTCAACTCAGCCGCAACGTTGTACAACAAAGGTGATGATGCAAATCAAAAAATATATTCATCAATAATGGTAAAAATTAATCTCTGTATTATCAGGCAATACGAGGAAATCCAGAATGGGCATCGGCTGAAACGTTATGAAGCGTTAAAAAATAATGATGAAGATACCTCAAGCGAATAGGTCATGGAATAATGACAATACAAAGAACCGAGGTAAACGAAGAACATCATAATCAAAACAACAAAGATGGGGATAACAGTATGTAAAATTCACAGAATTAAAAAAATATATTCATCTCCGAATGTCACACACTAAGTTTTTGTCTTCTGTTTATTAAATTGTCCATTCCAATAGAGAAATCATTATTAATGTTTAGAATTTATACCCCATTCTGTCTTATCCACTTGGCTTCAGAGACGTTTTTGTTTAATTTTATTCAAGCTTCTTTTGATTTCTCTTGTGATGTTTAATTAACCAAAGAATGTTATCTTTTTCTTCAAAATTATTGCAATTGTCTCTCAAAATGGGCGTTTGCTTTTCAAAATCTGAAAAATCTGTTTTCTTTTTCGTTTTCCTGCTTTTCTAAAGGCGTGACCGGGAAGACCTACAACGCCAATTTTAGGCCACGAAGCACAAAATAAATAAGAACTTGGGAAGAAGAGAGTTCCTCTTCATACCCAGACAAAAACTACGTCATTTCGTTACAAAAAAAAAGATGCAGGACATTTAATAAAAAAAAACACCGCGCTACAAAACAAAAAAAGAAAGATAAGCAGGGACAAAATTAAATGTGGAAATTTAAAGATTCCTGATTCCATATTTTTAATATTTTTTTTTATTCGTTCTATTATCCGACTGTAAGCATTATCTGTTTTGATTTTAAATACATTTTTTGCTGTTCTTTTGTATATATTTTCTGCGATGAGATCTGTAGATTTTTTCTGCATATACGACTTGCATAAAAACATGAGAAGTAAATGTTTCTAAAAACGGAAGCTTAAAATGAAGTTTTGTTATTTATTTTGAAAAGTAACGCCATTAATCATTTTAGCCAAATGATACAGCTTAGCTAAGTAGGATTGTCATAGATTGATGAAAAATTTAGTTTTCTGTTTAGTTGTCAGTTCCAGAAAAGGTTAGGAGGGAGACTAAAGCTTCCCAGCCCCTAGCCTATAGCGCTGTGGATGTTGTACCTGTGTCTCGTCCGATATTCTCACATGATGAAAGAAAAGCACACTTTGAAACTGCTGACACATCTTTTGGTATCAGAATTAATTTACATGATGTACTAAGATATGAAAAATATTTAATTGAGGAATGTTTTTCGTAATCATCATCATCATCATCATCATCATTATATCTAACACTTTTAAAAAATTCATCCATAATAGAATCCGACTAAAATTCATATAACGAGTAGGCCTATTATTCGTCTACATCAATCTGTTCGCCATTTCTAATTGAAGCTTTGCTTGATCGTTTTTTTTTTGTTTTTTTTATTATCAGCGCTTGGTTCCAGTTTTTCAGCAAAGTAATTTTAGCATTGAGCCAGGTGATCCAGTGATTACGGAGAGGACTGTCATTTATGTAAAGAATGGTAAAGGCTATTAGTTTATTAATAATGATGGGAAAATTTGCTATATATAATAGTTATTATTATTATTAAGTGAAAAGTATAAAAGGCAGATATTACAGTGCATCGTCAGTCGACATGATGTTAAACACGCCATTTCTTACAACTTCTACTGTTATTAGTGTCTTTAGAAAAGTTTTCCTTCGTCACAGATCAAAAGCGGTGCCTTCTTCTTTCACATCTGCTGAACTTCTCGTCTCATTTACAGTATTTGCTGTAGATATTTATTGAAAATATAACTTGTCACTCTATAATCTTCTTATTCGACAGAGAACCTCATGTAACTTGAGAACACACACACATTAGTTGTGTTCTTGGGCGATCACCATAGACAAATTCCAATCTTGGCGATTAACAAGCAGATGTTTTGTTCTTTGTTTAAAAGAATTTGGATCATTATATTTTGTAAGACCACACATATGTAGGACAACTTCTTAATTTAATTTCTTAGGACCGAAGAAATTCCCACAACACATTAATCATGTCTTCTTCTTATCGGCGGGAAACTGATAATATTGGGAATCTTGGTTTTGCTCAATTTTACTGAATCTTGGTTAGTTCATTATGAGTTCAATTCTCGTTAGAACTGTTCTTAAATTCTTATTTTAAAACAATTTTTGCCCCGTTTATTTTTCTCGTCTTTTCTCAACCATTCAACCTACTTTCCTGATAAGTTTCGTAATTATTATTCAATTAGTAGTCCCTCAAAATCACAATCCTATAATTTATGGCAATTAAATGTTTGAACAGGGTCAAAGCCCTGTTATACACCGAGACGCATCAGCCTCATTCACTTCGTATTCTATGGGTAAGGAGAAAGTTTCATTCGAACAGCTTCTCCCCAAAAGCGGCTTTATGGAGCAGACTCCCGATAGGATGCTTTAACGAACACTACAATTTTAATCTCTTTAAGTCTAGAGTCAACAGTTACCTATTATATTATATCCTCATAATATGAAATTATTTCTTCCACCTACGTGTATAAAAAAAAAATTATTTAGTTAGCCTCTAACTTGAGTGGCTCTTTGGACTTGTATTGGGTGAACATTTCGTGAGAAAAAAGTTGCAAAATAAACTTGTAAATTTTGAAGAGAAATACTTTTCCTTCCTTTTGATAAGCATCTCCTTGTGGTTTAAAACTTATTTTATTGGATACAAGACCTTACTTATCAATCGCTCCTCGTAGAAAAAAAGCATATTCTACAACCAATCGTCGGAATTGAGATTTTCAGTTTGCAGTTTACTTCAAGATGACCCTTTGGAATCAAGAAATAGAAGTACACAGTGTTTGTTCCTCATAAATCTCTGATTCAAATAAACCAACTTGATTTGAACGACCCCTATCTCGCAAAAATCCTGAAGAAATTTGAGCATTTTTCGTTTTATTAGATAGAATCTTGTCCGTACGCACGAAATACGACCTATCTTCCTTGATTCTATCTCGATTCATTGACTCGGTTCCGCTTTTTTTCAATATAGACTTCTGCATCTACTTCAACATATAAAGTCATCATCTCTTCCTACGCGGATTATTCCAATCTACCATGGGCAATGACTGTTGTTTTCTCTTGACGATTCGTTAAAAAAAACGATCATAAAACTAGATTAAGTCGAAGAATGTATATGCATTTAGAAGACAGGGGATAAGATTCAAGAACAAACGGCATATGCCGATCTAGGATGGAAATCATTGAGTAAAAAGGGACATAATGAAAAGCACATTATCAATAGGATTAACAGGTAAAGTGTAGAATCCGTGTAGATTACTAGCCATGGCGTACGGGTACAAAACATCGAGATCATCAGAATCCCGTGAAAACCTACCTAAAAATGCATGAAGGTGAATCGGAAGAGTAATTCTTGTGATAAATTTTACAAAAAAGGCCAAATACAAGAGAAAATATCAAGTTAAGGATATCACAGTATTGATGATTATGGAGATTGGCTGAAATATGGAAGTTTAGCAAAAACAAAAGATAACAGATGGAGCAAAAGGTTGCTTGACAGGCTACGATAATAGACAAGACAGATATGAACAGGCCAGGACAGATAGATAGATAGATAGATAGATAGATAGATAGATAGATAGATAGATAGATCTAAACATCACACATTTTACAGTCATTCGATGGTATTTCACTGTTGACTGAATCACCTCACAAAAGTTTCTTGTTCACGCATGCACATTATTCTCGAAATATGAAAAATAACTGGACTCTTTCCACACAAACCTCGGACGTTCATATGAATAGGCATAGATAGATAGATAGATAGATAGATAGATAGATAGATAGATCTAAATAGACAGGAACTGAGATAGATAGATAGATAGATAGATAGATAGATATTTTCAGTTACATTTTTAGTAATAAAATTAAAGTTAAAAAAATAAAAATCTATTAATTTTATAGATAGATGTGACTGAACTTAGATATGAACGCCCAGATAGGAATATTTTGACACAGACATGCGCCGACTGATAAAGATAAATACTGATAAATAAGTATGCCGAAGAAATAATTTCGAAGGAGACATATAATTATTTTAAGCATTCATTCTCAGAGTATATTCAACGACTCACGGGACATCTCACGAGGTGATTAATTATCCAGTGGTGAACAGCTCATTAGAGATTTTCATTTCTTACAAAAGCCGAGAAAGAATAGAAAGATATTGACCGCTTTGAAAGTGCACAATGTTTCGTGTCAATACATGTCTCCTTCATGCATACTGAACACAAGTGTATTGAATTTCTTTTTATTGTGCATCGTCAGTTACGAAAAAGCGAAATCGATTATCGATCTGTCATTAAGGTTAAATACTTTTCGTTATGTTATATTCAGGTTAAATGAATATTTATAATGTAAGCACTTAGGTTCATTGTGTTGACCAAACATTTGCAAAACAAGAAGTTTGCTTTGCTCACAAAATTATTTCTCTGATATGTTATGGAGGTGAAATATATTGTGAACTGTTTCAGGACAACCATGATATCCTTTTGTCTTTTTTCATTTTCCTTGTCTAATAATCGTTTTGAATCAAGTAACCAGTTTGCTGGGCCGTCCTGGGTATGACGATAAACTACTTCCAACAGCAAGACGTCTGATCAGGAGCTTTTGAGGAGCGTGGATCCACCTCTTAATTGCTGGTGTCCCAGGTCCACCCTGACCCCGGGGTCCCAGCTATAGGTAAATAGTTAACCCCAAAACTAGGGTCAAAACACTATGAAAGTGTAAAAATAGGTTTTAATACCAGAAATACTTTTTTTAATTATTATTATAAGCAATGAATTCTTGAAGAAAAAAATTATTACCAGCAATACATTTTTGGAAAAAAAAATTACCAGCGATAAAATTTTTGTCAGCATTAAATATCACATTGAGGTTGATATGCCGTAAAACAAAACAAACCAAACCAAACCAGTTTGCTGTAAGGCACAGGTGTTGTAATCTAAGGAAGATTACTGAATAGAATAATCAAACGAAGGTTGGTAATGAACGATAATACGTAGGACAAGAACAACAAATATAAGATTCGCCAGCGACGCGTAGAAGAAGTAGTCAAGTGAATTCCACAATGAATCTTCAACTGCAGGCTATCTACCAACCGCCCCACGCGGTCAGGTGTGGCACAAAGCCGAATTTAATGTCGGGTATCCGAGCCCGAAGGCTCAGCCAAAAATTCCCCGTAGACCCCGTATAAAACAGAGTCAGGTAGCTGTTTCCCGAGACGAGATTCAGCCTTTCGACATAGCCTCATCAGGGGATCCTCTCTGCCCGAAAGCAGAGAGTTTGACTAGGACAGCTGGAGACGAATCTTCGACTGCAGGATATCTATCAACCGCCCACGCGGTCAGATGTGGCACAAGGCCGAATTTAATGTGGGTTATCCGTGCCCGTAGGCTCGGCCAAAAATTCCCCGTAGTCCCCGAATAAAACGGGATCGGGTAGCTGTTTCCCGAGATGAGATTCTGCCCTTCGATATAGTCTCATCTGGGGATCCTCTCTGCTCGGAGGCAGAGAGCTTGACCAGCACAGCTGGAGACGAATCTCCGACTGCAGCCCAACATACAGTATTTACTACTGTATTTATGTGAATGGGGACATACCCATTATCGCCCATTGGTATGGTACAACAACAAGAGTAAAAATATCTCACTAGATCTTGCATAAGCCGCGCCGGCAAAAAGAAATCTGTCATTAGATTTCTGTCTAAATTTCTGGAATGAGGAATTATCAGTATTCACATTATTTACATGCGCACAACGGATCTCATCTTTGTTATTATAATAAACACGATATGGGAACCATTAATAAATAAAGAAAAAGAAATGACAGCAAAGTTTCGACAGCAGCAGCATTGCAAAAAAGAAGTCTCGGTGAGTGCAATCAAACATGACAGGTAACAGTAGAGGGTTGTTCGTGAATTTGATAACAGTACTTGCGAGTTCAATCACCTGGCTGGGCAGTGGAAACGGCACAAGTAAAACCGAGCAAAATTGAATAAGAATTAGACATTAAAGGCTTCAATTCGAAATTCTCAGAAGCGCTCTCATTATAATGAATGAAGAGAAATCTCAGATAATCTATCATTAGCCGATTTTGGTAAAGAAATATCTCATTAGATATCACATAAGCATCATCTGGACAAATTAATATCTTGGGTGATATCTCGTTAACCGTTCCAAGGAAATTAATTATCTCGATAGATATCACATTAATCATCATTGGACAAAACATATTGTGTTAGATATATCGAAAGCCGTTTGTATAACTAACTAATGTCGCGCTAGATATGCCATGAACTGCTACCGAGCAAAGAAATACGTCGATAGCTATCGTGATAGTTATCTCGATATGTATCTCATTACTCGATAGTAAATGAAGAAATATACTTCTAGGGTCAATATTATGTTGGGGATCGGTTCATTGTTCCGATCAGCAAATGTTACGCTATAGAGGAGAGCACCGGTCCGTTGCCATGACAATCGCTTTGGAGATATCCTAGGGAGGAGACACCGCTATCCACATTGGGTTTAAATAAGATTTGAAGAAGGAATATCTTCCAGGGTATTACGTCAGTCCCTACTAGACAAAAGAATATCTCACAGGATAAGACTCTAGCCCCTCATAGAGAAGAGAATACGTTGAGTGATATCACGTCACCACATCCTACAGAAAGACATATCTCGCTGGACGTCAGCCCCATCCTACAGAAAAAAATATCTGGTGAAAAGTCTCCACAGCCACTCCTACAGTTAGACATATCTCGAAGGATATAACGTTAGCTTTTCCTAGACGAATGAATATCTGAGGGGATATCACTCACGTCACACCCTCCTACAGAAAGCAATATCGTTTGGGCTATGAGGTGAGATGATCCTACAGAAAGGCATATATTGTGGGATATGACGTCAGACCCTCCTACAGAAATTAATATCTCGTGGGATATCATGCCATACACTACTAGAGAAAAAATATACCTCGTGGGATATCACGACATCACTACCTCGAAAAAGAAATATCTAGTGGGATATCATGTCAGACGATCCTAGCAAAGGAATATCTCGCGCGATATCACGTCAGGCACTCCTAGAGAAAGGAATGTCTCGTGGGATATAATGCCAGACCCTTCAAGAGAAAGGAATATTTCACAGGATGTCACATCAGCCCATCAAAGAGAGGTATATTGCGTAAGATATAACTTCATAACCTCGAAGAGCAAGAAATATCTCGTGAGACATCACGCCAGGCCCTTGAGAAAGGAATACCTCGTAGGATATAATAATGTCAGACACTCCTAGATAAAGGAATATCTCGCAGTATACCACATCAGGTCTCCTAGAGAAAAGAATATCTTGTGCGATATAATGTCAGAAGCTCCTAGTTAGAGGAATATCTCACTAGAGAAAGGAATATCACGCTCGTGGGATATGACGTCAGAACATTCTAGATAAATAATATCTCGTGGGATATAATGTTAAAAACTCCTAGCGGAAGGAATATCTCGCGGTATACCAAGTCAGAACCTCCTAGAGAAAGAAATATCACGCACTACATCACCTCAGTACCTACGAACGAAAAAAAATATATTGCGGTATAAAAAGTCACATCCTCCGGGAGAAAGGAATATCTAGTTGGATATAAGGTCACACTCTCCAAGGGAAAGGAATAAGTCACGGGATATCACATCGGACCCTCCTAGAGAAAAGTATAACGCATGGGATATGACGGCAGAACCTCCTAGAGCAAGAAATAAATCGTGGGACATCACGTCAGCCCCACCTAGTGAAAGGAATATCTCGTGTGATATCACGTCAGACACTGATAAAGAAAGGAATATCTCGTGTGATAAAATTTCAGACTTTCAGAGATAAAGAAATACCTCGCGTGATATCATGTCAAACCTTCCAAGAGAAATGAATATCTTGGGCAATATCACCTCAGACCCACCTACAGAATGGTATATCTCACGGATATGACGTCAGAACCTGCTAGAGATATGAATATCTCGTGGGATATCACATCATCATCTCCGAGATGAGGGAATGTCTCCTGGGATATCATGTCACCTCTTCCCATAGAAATGAATGCCTCGAGGGATATCATGTCAGCCCTTCCACAAAAAGGAATATATTGTTGGATATGACGTCAGAACCTCCTAGAATAATGGCTATCTTGTGGAATATAATATTAAAACCTCTAGCGAAAGGAATATCTCGCGCGGTATCACCTCAGATCCTTCTAGAGAATAGAATATCACGCGGGATATCACGTCAAAAGCTCCTAGAAAAAGGAATGTCTCGTGGGATATCACGTCAGCTCCTCCCACAGAAGTGAGTATCTCGTATCACATCAGACCCTCTCAGAGAAAGGAATACCTCGTGGGATATCATTCCAGTCCCTCCTAGATATATCTCGTGGGTTATCAAGATATCACCACCTAGAAAAAGTAATATCTCCTGCGATATCAGATGTCAGACATTCCTAGAGAAAGTAATATCTCGTGAGATATCTTGTCAGACCTCCTAGGAAAATGAATATCTCGTGATATATCACGCCATATCCTCCCAGAGGATATAAGATCATGAGGTATATCACTTCAGCCCCTGTTAGAGAAAGGAATATCTCGCGGGATATCATGTCAGATCCTCCTAGAGAAAGTAATATCTAACGAGATATCTCGATTGCCCCTCCTAAAGAAACAATTATCCTGAATTATATCACGTTAGCTCCTCCTAGAGAAACAAATATCTCGCCGAATATCCTGTCAGCCCCAACAAATAAAAATATATCTTGCTTGATATCACGTCAACCCCTCCTAGATAAAGTAATTTCACGCTGGATGTCTCATTAGCTGCTCTTATACTCTTGAACAGAAATATATATGGTAGAATTCCTGACCACCGGACTAAGAAGGCCTTCAGAATATGAGGAATTGTTTACAAGGTCCGGATATGAGGGGGTTATATTTACATTAAAATAAAAGAACTGAAATCAGGTTTAATATTTATTTTCAATATTTTATAGTAAACAAAATAAGCTAATGGCGAGTGAAATATAACGGAATTGATTTTAAGGAAAAAGAAATAAATTATGTAATGTTAATAAAAATTCATTAAATTAAGTATGCCACGTATGCAAAACAAATAATGTAACGAGAATTTTTTAATCGCTGTTGCATAATGTTTCTTTCTTTTCTAATGTCATTCTCAACTTTTTCTGCATTTCGTTTTGCTTTTGTTCTTGAATTTTTTTAAACGAAAGCCATTTTTTAACTTTTTTTAGCGTGCGTTATTGTTATCGTCATAGCTGAATGCTGGCTTTCTTTCCATAAAACTGACAACCTTTTCAATAGCTTTTTCAATTTCCGTCCAGGTTTCATCACAATCATGGTTTTATTTCCTTATTCATTGTGACAGTGTGAACGCTGGAGAATAGTTTCTTTGGAAGATTTTATATCATACAATGTTGACTTTCCTGTGTTGAACTCAGCCATTAGTTACAACGAACTTTCACTAGCGTCTACTCTGTTTAAAATTTCCACTTTTTGCGATAAGTTGTTTTTTTCCACTTATTCCCATCATCTTTTGTACCAATACAAGCCACCAAGATGAAATAAGCATAAACAATTATCCAAAGTAAAATTCCTGAAAAATTTCAACTCAGTTACATATCACCCAAATAGTTCAAATGTACACATCAATATCATGTCCGGATCTGAGAGATTCCTGATATGAGGGATTCCGGATATGAGGGATTCTACTGTATTATATATTTCGGTGAAGCAACTCGGAGAAAGAAATATCTTGCTATGATGCTTGTTGAATAATTTTCGGTGATATCCACTTCTTAAAATTGAACCAAATGACCAAACATTGAACATTTCTTGGAAAGTGTTGAGTTCAGAACCTTTCAGCAACATTCCTCGATACCACAACACATAAATGAAAAGATTTAGCTAAAAACTCGGGTCGCCATGTTCTACCGTTACAAGGGTCAGAACAGACTGAAAAGTGAAGATTCCTTCTATATTTGGTCTGATGTCGCCCAGACTTCACTTTCTTGTCTTGATAGACTCCAAAAGTATCTTCGGGTCCTTGTGAGTGATGAATTGTTTTCCAATTTACAATCACTTTCCTACAGACAAATCATTGCATGCCTCTTGCTACTCTTTGACTATTTCCAGGGAAAAATTAGGACCTACCATGCCGCGTGCCTTAAAGTGAACCACTCTCATTCCCTTCCTACTCTATTGATAAAGAGAAGGTTCCACTCGAGTATCCTATTCCTAAGAACTGTTGCTTTGTGGAACAGAATCACAAGAGGAAGCTTTTCCAACCACTACAATCTTATCCTCTTCAAGTTTGGCCATTATTTTTCACACATATCAGTATGAATTGCGTCGCTTACTCTTTACCGCTCACACAACAACCTCCTTCAGTAATCCTCTACCTTGAGTGGCCCTTGGGCCTTGTATAGAGTTAACGTTAATAAAAAAAATAAACAGTGGTGTTATGTGTCCGGTCGATGAAAAGCCGACAGAGGGGTCCGTTGTTTATAAGTTTTTTGTCGTAATTCACCACAATTTATTTAACAATCCCCTTTTAACACCCCAGACATTTATCGATCCCTTGTATAGTGTCATCGATCCCCAGGTGTTCGTATTGACTAATTTAGGAATGGCTGGACTATAATAAATAAAAGGCGATACAACAGACCCAGCGATGCGGTTTGCCTTGTGATTGAAATTGTTTTATATTTCACATACATTGTTGTCAGGTAACTAATGCAAACATACCTTCACTGACTGATGCTATACAATCTTCCTATTCCTATATCAAACGAATTTAATTTTCTTCGTTTTTACAAAAAAGAAAAGAAATTATCCTCTAAATTTCACTTTAATAAGACGACTCGTTTTTAAACACTTTCTGCTTTTTGCAAAATGTCAGTTTGTGACATTCTGTGTAAATTCTTTTTATAAACAAAAGCCTACAGACATAACGGTAATATCCCACACTTCCTCTTAAAACTTTACAGGCTCGTATATTTAGAATGATTGCTCAAGGCCTGATTTAACAACTAAGCAAGTAACACGAATCTTTTGCAAACGGAAGCGAGCCTGAGGTTTATCCGGGTAAAAGTGTACGTGTTTATGGTTTTGTTTTTTCAGTAAATGTTTTTTTATCTCTCTTTTTTTCTCCTTTTATCTTGTTCTATGTCGGGAATATCCGGTTGAGTCTATGCCACAATGTAAAGACAAACAATTAACCAGACAAAACTACCTTCAACTGACGTCAGACAAAAAGAAAATTGAAGCCACCGGTAAAAATTGCAGCATGTAATTTGGGTTGAGTTTTAAAGATCCTCCCAGATTCGCATTTATATTCGTCTAGATTTTTTTCTCTTCGAACTTTTCACAGGCTAAAAAAAAACAATATATTGATACAATCATTTATTCTTTTAATAGAAAATACTTTCGACACTCGCCCCCAACAACATATACATATGAATTGTGTGCATTCAAACCACAATTTTAAACTTTGACAAATTTCTGTCTATATTTCTGATATAAGGTATTATGTACACTACTTACATTATTCGGACTATTGTCCTCATCTTTGTCGCCATATTTATTACAACGTTTCGCCCCTTCAGTATCTGTCTATATTTCTGAGATGAGGTATTATGTACACTATTTACATTATTCGGTCTATTGCCCTCATCTTTGTCGCCATATTTATTACAACGTTTCGGCCGTTTTACGCTCCGGCTTTCTTCAGGTGGTTGGAAAGTCGAACTGAATCCTTTATTTCGCTCGCTGAAGTAGACTGTTCTAGTTTCACATGCCATGTTTAATGGATGTCAGTTATCAGTAATCTCCTGTTAATTTTCCCTCTGAAAGTTCTCCATTGCCTTAACCAGGTATTGAATTCACACTCTTTGGGTCCTGTCACTGGATCTAGCCAACGCCTTTATCCACTTTATCCACAGTGCTATGTGTCCTTGAGGACATCTGTGTATGAATTTCTGGGTATTATAAACCTAATGTCTTTAGCAACCATTTTTACCAGATTGCTCATATTGCAATTTTTGCTGTTATCATTTCATGTTTTTACCAGTGCTCATATTGCAATTTTTGCTGTTATCATTGCATGTTTTTACCAGTGCTCATATTGCAATTTTTGCTGTTATCATTGCATGTTTTTACATAAAGTTTTGTTTTTTGTGCTTTCTCGATAACATTCGTTTTCTTCAGATGACACGTCATATTATCGTCTCAATCTTTTTTTTTTATTTATGAAATATATTATCTATGTTAGTTCCTAAATTTGATAACATTTTATTGATGTTGGGTTGTTTTTTATATGATTAATTCTTCTAGTATTTGTAGTCGTTTTTTACAATCATTTCTATATATATGATAGACATACGTCGGCCTCAGGAGACTATAGCGACAACCTGTTGTTGGTACTTGCTCAGGCACATTTGTGTTCATTCAGCACCCACGTAGCCTACCTGTGGTTTATACTTCATCTATGCTGAGCGGATATGAATTACAGTTTCTGGGAGAGAGCGCATTATCTAACGTAAGGAATAGTTTGAACGAGGAATGTAGGCTCGAAATCTCGGTCACGATGACTGGTGACTTTGTGCAAGGCCTTCTGAACAGTTTCGACTGCACAATTTTTCTCACCAGACTAGGTCAACCAGTGGGCCTGGTTTTCAGGCATTTTCCAACGGACGGTACCGCACGCTGAGATTGTCTCCCCCAGACCTATATTATCAAGAAGTCACCTTCTTGACCACTGTCACATTCTATATCTATATATATATATATATATATATATATATATATATATATATATATATATATTGTGTGTGTATTTAAGCAGCATTTTTTCATTCATACATGTTTCATTAAATAATATAGACAAGTGTTGTCTATTTATTTTATGTAAATTCTTTTCGTAACGCCTGATAAGCTTAATAACAATATCATTAAACGAAGACAGAAAATCACAATATTGATCCATATTTTTTTAATCCAATCTAAGCTTTCGGCTTACATAAGCCATTATCAAAGATGTCAATTATTGTACAACAAATTAAGCAATATACGGACAAGACAGTGGTGATAGTCTGTTATTGCTTACATAAATGATTTCCAAGCAACGATAAACGCGTGCATATAAGACGCTAGAAGCGAAAATCGCACCGCAGCTCATGACGTCACACATGACCACGCGTGAGTGAATTAAATTCAAATTTAAAATGCATCAATGAAAAAATGCTGCCTAAATACGCACACAATATATATATATATAGATACACCTAGTGAGCCAGACAAACCTATCTAGGTTTCACCTAAACGGATTGTCAGGGAAATATATATATTAAAGAAAAAAAGTCCACTTTAAGGTACCATTATAATAATTTATTTCATCAGAGCCCTTTTAAAGGACGCCGGATCATCAGATAGCACTTCCAAAAATGAAATGAAACGAAAAATGAAATTAAAATTGATGGGTAGTGTAAGTTTTTGTAATTTAACAGAGAGTGTAAAAGAAGTAGTTAAAGAGACATGGTAGAGTTTAGGGGGGGATTAATTTCATATCTCTCTCAATCATACTTAGTATTGGGGGAGGAGGAGGAGCGACCAGACCATGACCTATTTATATTGAAATGGGGTGAGAAGGGAGAAAAGAAAGTGGAAAAGGAAAAAGAAAGAAGAGGGAGAGGGAAGTAAAGAGAAAGAGGCTATAATTGGGTTTTAGCAATTTATGTAAAGAATAGATTTTAATGCTTGATAGTAATTTAGATGTCTAAAAAAAGCCGAAGAAATTAATATGATGCTTGCTATCAATTTAAATATTTAATATTTTTTAAATATTTATTTATTTATTCATTTTTAATTCAACACCATCACTTCATAAGGAATCGAACCTGTATCCTAGAATATTGTCAGACTTAGTCCATATCATAATATATATATATATATATATATATATATATATATATATATATATATATATATATATATGTTGTGTGTGTATTTAGGCAGCATTTCTTCATTGATGCATTTTTCAGCGTCGTTGCTTGGAAATCTTCCATGTAAACAAAAACAGACTCTTATTGTTTTGTCCATGTATTGTTTAATATATTGTAATGTAATTGTCATCTTTGATAATGGCTTATGTAAGCCGAAAGCTAGATATGATTCAAAAATATGTATCAATATTGTGATTTTCTTTTTTCTTTTCTTTTCATGATAATGCTATTAAGCTTATCAGACCATATGAAAAGAATTTACATAAAATAAATAGACAAAACTTGTCTATATTATTTAATGAAACATGCATCAATGAATATATATATATATATGATATGTTGTTGATATGTAAGCAGATGAACATTTATATGTGAATTTATCTATTTATATATATATGTATGAACGTTTTGGATAAGGGTGCCTATGTGAATATATGTACTCTTTTAATTGTGGGCACATGTGTATGGAGGTATGTGTGTATATGTATGGGTATATATATATGCATATGTGTGAGTATAAATATATAAGTATGGGGTATGTTTAAGTACTAACGTTATTTTTGGTGCTAGGTATCATTGTATATATATATATATGTGTGTGTGTGTGTGTGTGTGTGTATTTTGCATATGTGTGGATGTATGTGTACAGGCGTGTGTTTGTGAATGTGTAAAGGTGTATGTGTATGTATTTTGTGTGTGTATGTACGGATATATATATATGTATACATGTATTTATATATGTGTAGTAATTTGAATATTAATCTAGTTGTAATCTGTATATGTACGTAGATGTATATACCTTAGAATTAATATTTGTAATATATTTGTGATTAGATGTATAACATTGTAATATATGCATGTGTGGATAGTTATGGGTAGAATTTTTTTATATGTTTTTTTTTTGTATATAATCGTGTGTAGGTATTTATGTATATATGTGTGTGTATGTGTATATATGGTTGTATTGTATATAAGGGTGTATATATGTATATGAGTATACCTATATGTATATATGTATATGTAGATGGATGGATAATTGATAGATTATTAATATATATATATATATATATATATATATATATATATATATATATATATATGTGTATGTGTCTATACGTGTATGGAATATTTTTAAATGGAAGTACTTGGGTCATTCTCTTGGTATTTTAAAATTGCTTTTTCTCTTTTAATGTTCTATAATTAAATTTTGAGAGAGTATTTTTATCTTCTTAAGGGAGTTTAATCTTAAAATTGATAATTTTAAATATACCACTCTTTAACTATTAATAGCAATAATAATATTAACGAAATCCCTTTAATAATGAAGCACTTCAGAAGTCACCTAAAGTTAAACTTTAACTATAAAATCAAACTAAAATCTAAATAAATTTCAAACGTTAAAATATAGGTAATGATTGAGAAATGTATGTGTGTATATGTAATTTATGTATGAAGATGGATGAACATTTGTGTATATTGTTGCACGTGTGTCTGTGTGTATTTGCACATGTAAATGGACGTATGTATATGTGGATTTGCATGAATATGTTTTTGTGAGATACATATAAGAAGAAAAAAAATCTTTAATATTACCCTCAAATATTATTAAATAATGAAACCTAAACCTTGATTAAGTTTACCCATATAATAATAAAGAAAAATTGCATTCATAAATTAGATTTAAAGTAAAACTAATATAGATGTTATTGTTACCAACATTTTTTTTACAATATTATGAAAGTACAATTAGTCGGGTAAATAAACTATTATAATTTTAAATATTTCTTTAATATGTTCTCGATAAATGTGCTAATAAAAATAGTAGTTAACTTATATTAAATCCCTAATGTGCTAATAAAAATAGTAGTTAACTTATCCCTAAACTATTTACTTAAAAAACTAAATGTTTAAATTGATAACATTCATCATTTTTTAGACATCAAAATTTCTATCAAGCATTGAAATCTATATTTTACATAATTTTGTTAAAACAAAATTACAGCCTTTTCGATTCACTTCCCTCTCCCCCTCTCTCTTTTTCCGTAACACTCATTTAGATATATCTGTATTACTGTCGTCTGTCTCCTCTCTCCTTTCCATTTTTCCTTTTCTTTCTCCCCACCACCCTCCAAACCTATATATCAATTCCGTTAAGTTAACCATCAAAATAGGTCACGATTAGGTCACTCCTCCTACCCCAATATAAAACATGCTTAAGAGAAATATGAAATTTACCCCTCTCTATACTATACCTTGTCTCGTTGATCACCCTCCCTGTTAAATTACAAAAATTACACTACCCATCAATTTCTAATCCCATTTTTCCTTTCATTTCGTTGTTGGAAGTGTTACCTGATGATCCGGAGTCCTTCAAAAAGGATTTTGGTGAAATAAATTATTGTAATGGTACCTTAAAGTGGTCTGTTTTTTTCATTAAATATTAGCTCTGGATTCACATTGAGCTCTCAGGATTTCATCCTCTTTGGAATTACCCATTCGGTTTACCAAGTTCTTCGTAACTTAAATATATATATATATATATATATATATATATATATATATATATATATATATATATATACAGTGTCCATAAAGTTCGTGTGTACTTTAAAAAAATTATAACTTTATTTGTATTTGTGATAGAAAAAAATTGTAAAAAGGATTAGAAAGAGCTAAATCTATATTTTTTTAGGGTTTTATTGAAATTTTATTTAAGTTTCTACTTGTCCTCCATTATTAGTAATACAAAGGGTAATACGAATTTGCAGTTCACGGAAAACATTTGCCAACTGATTTACAGTAATGCTTGAAATCACATTAGTTATATTAGCTATATTTAAAACTAGGTACATTAAAATTTATAACATTTTTTACAGATTATTTCTATCGTAAATACAAATAAAGTTATAATTTTTTCAAGTGCACACGAACTTTATGGACACCCTGTATATATTGATAGAATCGGGGTAAACATTGTGAATCACAAATAAAGAAAAAGTTCCAGGCGTGATACGAACTCGCATCTGTTTGATGCTAGAGTCATTCGATATTTGAGAGTTGTATTATCATTTGAGCAACGACAAAATATCGAATCATATTACATAGTTGGTTATGCCGTTAGTGAAAATTAACATTAAAATATGCGTTTACAATTAAAATCTTTCATTTTAAATCACATTTAACAACAGTTCAGAAATTATTCTCAGCAATAAGGTGAATACGCAGCAAGACGCAGTTTCTGGTTTTCAGTCAATTCATGCCGAATACATTTTCACTTATTGAAGCCACTCGACGAGAAATATTCATGACAGAAAATGGCGGTTGTAGAATGACTTTCGATTGTCTATCTCGGTTTCCACAATGTTTCATCGTGCCTCTTCCTCTATGTTCATTTTTGAATATTTAAATTTTTAAAGCGAAATTTCTGAAACCACCATTACATTCTTCGGCACTTCATTATCGAAATGTTTTGATTCATTTTTATTGCGTCTCAATTTCAACTGATGAAATAATTAAACGGAGAAAATTTTTTAAAAAGGGGAGAAAAGCAGAAAAGCCAAGTTTATGTCAATTAGGTCATCTGAAATATGAAGAAAACGAGCCAAATTTAAGATAGAAAATAATAGAATGAAATGCACACAAATCCATTTTCACAGCACTAAATCATGACTTGTAGCTTGAATCCAACACTTCAGACAATAATACTTAATATTGTTATTATTATGTCTTGCATATCTCTCTGCGCCGTAGTAGTCGTAATAGAGTTCTCCATGTCCTGACTAGCAATTGAGTCTGCTAGGCATAGTCACTATGTTCGCCAGTTGTTCTCTATTTAGACTTGTCTATCTAATTTGCATACGATACTACAGTTATTTTAATTACTAAATCAGTTTTAATTAAATTCTAATAAATTAAATGATTGATAAATTTCTTTCAACAGGAGCACACGTTTCTCAAACGGAGGGAGATTAAATTGTAAGTAGATCCTTTTTGGTTTTCACTCGGTAATTTTTTTTAACTTAGAAAAAAAAATGACGTCAACATTTGTTAACTGCAAAGTACACGTACAGAATAAAAAAAGGATGATTTACATAAACACACACACATATATATATATAAGGCTCAAACACTAATATATTTTTATTTACAAATTGTATTATCCGGGTTTTATTCACACACTTTTAATACCTATACTCTGGCGGTGTGAATAAAACTCATAACGTCATCCACAGACAGACAGACAGTTTCGCCGTTTACAGCTCATCAGTGGCTAGACATCCGGTTGCCTCTAGAAACCGATCGAAACCCGACTGAATTGATGTCAGTCGGAGCTTCTAACCACTAAGCCGTCGGCGCACGGTAGGGATGAAGGTGGATTTTTAGCGTATTTATTTTTAGAAACACGCCCAGTGACCGACAGTGATATAATGTATTATTTTAATACCTATACTCTGGCGGTGTGAATAAAACCCGGATAATACAATTTGTAAATGTCAGGGAAAAAAATCAGTAAAAAAAGAACAGACTAAAGACATCCGTGTTGGTCGAAAATAATCAATCAGTACCACAGTGCCTAGTCAAAAGAAAAAAAACACCGACGGAGTAAATTAAGTCAAAACGTAAAAGTGCTCAATACAGTAAGTAGAGCAAAATCTAAAAAACCTAGTGAGCCAGAACCTACCTACCAAGGTTTCACCAAACGGATCTTCAGTGTACTATATATATATATATATATATATATATATATATATATAAATAGTAAGAATAAAAGCTAAAGCTTAAAATAAGCTAAAAGCTTAACATATAAAATAAGCTGAGGGATCAATCCCAAAGTCAGCTTAAATATAATATTATTAATTTAGTAATACCCAAAATCCGCCCACTACTCAGAGATTCATGCGATAACTATCTTCATAATACAGAACCAAGTTGACATTTAATATATACTCCAATGGTGACAGGTAACTCTTATCACCGATGTGTATTCTAATTAAATATTTATTCTTATGCCGGCATGTAGCCATAAGCTCGTTTCTTTTATTTAACATTTGGACCGATTCGTTGTATGATCATCAATTTTTCACTAAGGCACAAATTACAGCTTTTACCATCTCCGTTATATGGTCTGGATTTGGCCAGTACTTTTCATGTGATGGTAGGTGCTTCTTTTCTGCTGTTAATGGCGTTATTCCAATAGTAGGTGGAAACAGTAGTGCTACCATTGTATTAACTGTTGCTCAAGCTCATCTTATGGCTGTAGAATCGTCCTTTCTATTCACACTCGGCTCACTTGCATGATTGAGTACTTCTGCCTATTAAAGTAAACATCTGAATTTGGAATTGCCCTGCACTAGATCACGTTCGCCACGATGGAGCCATTTAAATTGAGCTATTAGGATAAGAACTTTATGCCGCCACCCATCGAAAGAGATTATAAAATCAGACTCTTACAGAAAATAGAAAGCGACATCGGGGAAATACGGTGGAGTTATTTAGTTACCTTCGAAAACCTTTGCATTCATATTTTTTTTAATCATTACACCCCAAGCAAGGCAATAAGCCTACAAATTAGAAAGGGCTTACTGAGTATGATATAATATAAGGAAATGAATTGCTATTAAAGAGAACGAACAATAGAAGAAAATGAATAAAGACGACAGAAGTTAACGATTGACATTGCATTTATATTTTTGAAGATATTGACCGGAAAACTAGAAGCCATAAGAGATTTTTATAAGCGAGAAGTGCGAGAGAAGTAACTGTTAGCATAGACCTTACAGTTCCATTTAACTAGTTCAATTGTAATATGATGAGACTTTGCCGCAAATGAAGTACTGCGCTTAAATTCATAAACTCTAGATACCGTAGAAAAAAGTCCGTCATAACAATTACCATGAAAGTATTTATAGAAAAAGACACAGGGAAGCTACATTATGGCGGCGAGAAAGTGATTGAAGCCGAGATGCCAAGTCAGAAACAGAAGAAACAAATGAAAGAAATAAAAAGAAAGAAACCGAGGATTATGGATTCAAATTTTGTAAACCCCTCCCCCCACTCCCACAGGATGAATTATTACTACACTTTGAAAGATTATGATAAAAAAGTTAACAACAGCTTAAAACTCTGTGTCCAGCGAAAATCAACTAATAAAATTTTCCTAATAAATTTCTATTCTCATCATAACAACAAAATAAAATCCGGAATAATCATCAGATTCTACTTAAGGACAATCAGAGTTTGCAGCCCATAATATTTATATGAAGAGAAATACATTGAAAATACTTTTAAGTTCTTCCATTACCCTATTTCATATTTAACGCAAAACAAAAGCACATAAAATATTTCAAAAGAGAAAAGCGGTCCTTCATGACAATACTAACGAATCCAAATATATTGTTCTACCTGTAATAATTGTCATAGGGAATACAACGGGGAAAGCCTAAGGAGTTGAAATAAAATATTATTTGTAAACAAAAGGGGTCTTTTACAAAACGACACATTAAATGTTTTAATTGCTCACTGTAACAAAACTAGCTACAATTTTTATTTAAAAAATATTACTATAATAAAAAGAGAAAACAATTTACCTGTCTATATTTCTATGAGGTATTATGTACACTATTTACATTGTTCGGACTATCGTCCTCATCGTTGTTCAGTTCGATATTCCAACTACCTGAAGAAGGCCGGAGCGTACAACGGCCAAAACGTTGTGATAAATATGGCAACAAAGATGAGGACGATAGTCCGAACAAAACAATTTACAAAGACTAAGATATTTTAAAAAATGCTTTAATCGCTAGATCATCTACAGTAAATTAGCGTCCAGGTTCTTACGTTTCACTATTCTTTCCTCTGTTTCTGTATCTTTACACCAGCTTTGAAGTTAATTTGATTCAATTTCTTTCCTGGTTGAAGCTTACTAGTCCTTATAGCTTTAGTCACCTCGTCTGCAATTGATTTAAGGGCTTGGTCGTGGCGCCAACGATACCGACCATCACCCAAAGCTTTTGGGCAACTACTAAGGATATATATATATATATATATATATATATATATATATATATATATATATATATGTGTGTGTGTGTGTGTGTGTGTGTGTGTGTGTGTGTGGCACCATTTACCAAGGCAAAAAGAAAAGAAAGGAAAGAGAGGAAGGAAAGAAAGGAAAAGAGAGGCGAGACCCAAACGTGGATGATAAGTAGGACACCCACGACTAAGAGACAATGGATAAAGGATATTTTGATAAGTAGCAAATGGCAAAAACTGTCATTACAATGGCAGAAAAAATTCTAAGTGGATAAAGGAATCGTTGTCTTCTGGCGACGAGCTGTGTTATCGGGGATACATAAACAAACCGCTAATGCGGGAAAACATCTGATTAAGCAAACCACCGACCGACTAGCCAAAGAAAAATCCAATTGAAAATGTTATTTTGATAATTGACATAAAACAGGTGGACTACAGGGCTTTGGATAGATATGGAAAATTAATTGTGTCAAAGCCGCACACGAGGTGGCGACTGACCGTTTTTTTCTTTTGACAAAACATCTTTAGCTGCGATAATAAAACTATGTTATCAGAAATGTGTACCAAAGAATGACTGGAACCAAGGAAATGTTTTTTTTTTTTTCGAGGTGACGGACGATTGTGTTGTGTCAAATAGACCACCCATTCTGATAATTAGCGATAATCTGACTGACGAAGGCCAGGTGAGAACAAGAGTTATGACCACCACCGATCGCATTGTTCTATTTACGGCCAGAGAAAATGAGAGCTGCGATTAAAAGAAAGAAAAGGAAAAGAAAAAGATAATTTTTTTTTTGTTAAGCAAGATATTTTTTTTTCCCTGAAACAAAGCCCGCGGGATCGCACAGGCTCGGCTAGACATCATTGGCCGAGTGGTGATCACGTGACGCAAGGAGGAAGCTGTCGCCGCCCATCTAAAGGATGGGTATGAGAGGTTGCTACGAAGAAGTGGGGAGGGCAGTTCACGCCCCTCTGAAGTATGGTGAGAAGGTGGGAGTAAGAGAGGGCTCCCAAAAATGGAAAGAAGTGGAAAATTCCTAACCAAAAATAAGAGAGTGGATATGTATTTAGAATTATCGAGGAACCCCTGGCGCCGACAAACCCACCCCGGTTTTGGTCGGCGTCCATATAAGCAAAGTCGCAGCGAGCGAAAATCAGAGAGTTCCAGAGTTGAGTTCGCAAATTCCGGACTCTTCTTCAATCCAAGAACAATTATTTTGAAGAGCGACTTAGACCCAGACCACCAAAATAAGTTTTTTTTTTTCGACTTTCGCCCGAAGACACACCGAAAAACCAATTTCTTAAAGAGCAAACAACTTGAAGTGTTAAAACTCGCCTAACGGAAAACAACGTGTCACAATCCATAGAACGGGTCGGAAGATAGACGCAGTCCTATGTATCCAACAACTAGACATAAAGTTTGTTATCCTTTTTTTGATACCTTGAATTTTTGAGTTATCATTTTATTTTCTTTTATGCATATTTGTGCGGTGTCACCCCCGTTTGAACCCGATTTGCATTACGGCCCCAACTACTGATTGATCTCGTCTGCCTAAGATCAATTCACAACGTGGGTAGGCAGACTGGAAATCAATGCAGTTACTTTGGTAACCAGGCGTTGGAAGCGAGTTGGGAACGACGAGGCTGATATCGAATCTAACCAGATTCCCATCCGAATCACCAAAAGGTTAGAACGTCACATATATATATATATATATATATATGTGTGTGTGTGTGTGTGTGTGTGTGTGTGTGTGTGTGTGTGTGTGTGTGTGTGTGTTTTGAACAATAAAAAATATTAAATAATTAAAATTTTCAGACACACTGGGTTGTATATTAATATTTTTTTTCGTTTTTATTATTTCAGTTAGATTCCTCGACTAGTTTCGGACAACATGGCCATCATCAGGATAAAAAAAAATTCTGCTTGTTAGTAGAAGTGA